TAAGTGATTTTTGATTTGTATTCATTCGAAATATGCGTATAATAAAAGAAATTTTGTTTTCTTGTGGTACACATTAACTGCTCTTCTTAGATTAATTTCTACGGTTCATATAGAAATAATATTCAAATTTTGTTCGTTTATATTTATAACTCACACAATTTAAATGTGTGTCACAACGACAACAAGAAAAACTCCTGTCCTATACAAATATATATCACTGGAACTATATTTATTATAAACCTATATCAATGAGAAACATATCAAAAAGTATACATTTATTCATAACTATTTTTTGCTTCTATGCATATGAAAGAGAGTTATGTATGTTTGAATACATTGACAAATAATGAAAAGAGCTGCTGGTATTTGTTAAACGAAAATCAGTGGAGATATTGAAGACATGAATCCTTCTTTCTTCATTCAAAAGTAACAAAAACAAAGCACCATCATTGCATTGCATACTTAGTGTCGTTGTTCAAATACAGAAGTTTGTTTCGCGAATAACAAACATTGATCATCAGGTTCGTGGCATGATTCTTTTGAGTTTCTTCTGAAGATGCATCTATGACAGACGAGATAGGTCAACAAAAAAGTTCATTAATAACAAAACAAAAACAAACGCAAAGCAAATTTTATTATTGGTGTTATTGCTTTTTTTTCTTCCCTTGGTATCTGTACAATGAGTGAAAATGTGATGATAAAATATGTAAATGAAAGAAACTGAAGAAATGTTATATTGCATTATTCTTTCTCTCTTACTTTCTTTCTATGTGATAGCATCTCATGAAGAACTTTTTTGTCAATATCTATCTATATCCTTTAACTGTGTTGACGAGTTTGAATCAATCAAAATGCATGAAAAATCAATTCAATGCTGTTTATTACATTATATTCATTCATTATCTCCCCATGGTCATTAATTCATAAGTATCTAATGTCGCGAAAATTTATAGACTAGCTATGATAAGCAATATACTAAAAAGATCGTTAGATTCGAATGAATACTGAAGCATCAGCTCTCTAGAGCATTCACTTTTTTAATTTGACAAAAATATTGAAAAATCTGTCATGATGTACAGAGATGTTTTTTATAATCTTTGTTATTTTTGCAGATGTTTACATTGTGATCGTATATGCGCACGGTAAGAAAGCATGCGAATGATGCAAATGAGAAAGACTTTTGAAATGACTTTTATTCCGGAAAAAAACACGATAGAATGTGAAATATTTTTTGCATCGGAGTTAATCTTGAATTGTCGCATTGCACTCAGTCAAGCAGACTAAAATAAAAATATGCCACAGCCTGTATAAAAAAACAATGTGTCGTGTTCTAGATGTGCTGTGATCTATTAACTAATCATTACATTCATCGTTTTTCTTTGCGCACACAACAGCATATAACGAAGGCGATGAAACTACTAAATTTACGCAGTTTCGCGCATCGTTCCTCCTTGATTATTTCTCAATTAAACTTTAGTCGAGAACATACTGAAAGATTGATCAATGACCGAGATTGGATCACCTTGGCGTAGTCTAATCGAGATCAAATCGACTCAAGGTGACTGGATATTTGAATTTTACCGTCTTGCATGCCAAGACTAAGTACTAATAAATCAAATTGCACCGGAAAATTTGTAGACATGCTGTAAGATAGATTCGAATCCCGTTTTTAGAAGATTTCGCAAACTTGCTGAGAGAACTATATCATAACAAGCACCTCCTGTTGCACTTTTATGTACCGTTCATTGTGTCTGGTTTGGACGTGAACATACTCCTTACCAACATACATACTCATTCACGCACTCACATTTACCCTCAGTATACAGTACAGAGGGAATCAATGATTTCAATCAACGAAAACTCTTATTCAATCATGTAAAAATGTACATAGTCATACTCAACATAGAGCTGGCTTTGTGTATTTCAAAAAAAAAGCACACCCTTTCACTTGTTCTTTTGTGGATTTCGTAGTATCATTTGGTAGGTCTCGTCCAAATCTTTCTATCGATATGAAATTTCAAGTGGACTAATAGCATTCAAGAAGAGCACTAGGTGATATTCGTCACGGAAATACATTAGAGATATACGATATGAAACATATTGTTATATAAGGAAAGACAAGTAATATTCTTTTCTAATATGTTCATACAATATTCATCATAAAAATTGAAACAGCTTAATCCGACATATAGATCAGCCAAATACATAAGCGAATGAATGGAGTATTTTTCACGAAAACATTCTATAACCTAATCTTTTTGAGGACATAAAACAGAAATAAATCTCGGTGAGTTCAGTCGCATGATATACAGTACAGAATGCAACAGAAAGTTTGATTTTATTAGTCAAAGATTTTTGACAGTTAAAATGATAAAACAGGTAAGATAAAATTGAATTTTATGAGAGTGTAGACAGCATAAAATATTAGCCGCCAGTCTTTTCCATAAGCTGATTTTGTTCATTACGGCTGCAAGGACAGCTGACTATAAATAATGAATAATATAGATACTTAAACGATAAATCAACAATATTCTTTAAAATCGCACGGGAAATAGCATTGTGCGAATAATAGTAAAAAAAGATTATTCGTTTTTCATGATATATCGCTTTTTTCGATGATCGACATTCTTAGCTTCGCGCTGCATTTCGTAATAGAGTGAAACTGAAACGCTATCTAGTTTGAATATAACTATGTATGCTATTGAATCAATAGCTCATATTAGATCCAAAATGATTAAACCTGTACCCCAACCGAGTCTGGAGCCGGGACGAATCCGAAGGGCTCTATTTCTCATTGAAAAATCAAATTCTAATTATTTTTTGTGATTTTCTCTTTGTAATAACTTTTTGGATTAAAGAATTGTGTTAAAAAAGTTTCTGTCATCATTATCAAGTGGAAACTAGTAAAGTTTCAATTTATTTTCGTGGAATAAAAAAAAATTTCTTATGATAAAACAGAGAAAAACACGCATATTTTTTAAAGCCTACGTTCATTCGCTTTCGAGGGGCTGTATGGCGAACTCCGGCAAACTTCATATTACTCTATACCACTATAAAGCGGCAAGTATTTAGGATGTTAAAGTTAATAATTTGTGTTGCAATAAATAGTGCACGATGTGCATCTTGTTCTTGCACACTTCGTTTTCCTTACGGCCAGTACGTGTGAGATAAATGTACAGATACACTTGAAACTAATTATTTTTCACCATGTATTTTACACTAAACTCATCGATTAAAAACTAATCTTCATTCCGGAAACAATAAGAAATTCACTTATGTAGAAGCTTGTAAATTCTTTTTGTTGATTCCAGTCAATAAGTAAAATGAATAATTTTTATTGAAAATGTCAAAAAATTATATTCGTCTGAAAAATATAATCAATATGAAAATCAATTTCTATATCTTGATTACTGTGAGATTATGATGAAATTATAGCTTAATGTTTATTTTTCTTCATGATGTTAAATTATCATTATTTCATTTATTTGTTATTATAAAGTTGACGTTTGGCATTTACCAGGAGTTAATAGTCTTATTATTTTGATTGAAAATGACCGAATAAGATAGACAAATTCTCCTTTGTCTTTCTTATAAAATATATAAAATGAAATAAACATGAAAAAAAACCTGGATATTGTCGCGTGTTAATTGATATTTGACTTTATCTCAAGATATAGAAACTAATTTTCATATTGAACATCTAGCTTGTTTTATACATTGAATGAAAAAATATCGTTTACCCATAAGTCAAACTACTCATACTTCGCAAAATTCTCAGAGAGAGGAAATCAGCTGTGTAGTAAAAATGCATATGATGATGTAATGTATAAACAATTCTAAAAGACATTTTATTTGTTTTTTATGATCAAAAAACAATAACAAAAATTCTTCATCATTCTATATGAACATCGCGAAAAGAATTCGTCGAAATCTTTTTCAATATAAAAAATATTACTAATATAGTTTTCTGTTATTTTACGATTGAGTGCACACAAAAGAATCTAACCCTGGCAGACATTGATTGATTGGCTATGAAAACGACCAATAAAGCGAACTTGGATTTTTTCTATCCTTGAAACGCATCGACTTGGTTTTTCTCTGAGTATAAGTAATAGATGTTGCATCATTCTAAACTTTCAATGATTGTTAGAGATAATGGATTATACATCCAAAGAAGCTAATGAATTTCCAAAGAGAAGTACGTCCGATGATATTTCACAGTTATATTTGTCTACAACATTAGAAAAAAATCAATCTTTAAAAAATAAGTCAGATGGATTACTACTTGACGATCAAAGTAAAAACATTGTTAAATACAATTCTTTTGTTAGATTAATCTTGTTTTTTTTTTTTGGTATGATTTTAGATTTATGCGATAAAGTACTGAGTGAATTGATTTCAATAACAAAAGACAGCCAATTAGGTAAAATAAAAATAAAAATATTTTTGTGTTTCGAAGTTTTTTATATTCTCACATGGTACAGATAATCAGAGAAAAACTAGAAAATCCATCAAAAACTATATATTTTAGAAATCTATAAGATTCATTTCGGTAATTGAAATTAAAATAAAGTGACATTTTCTTCTTTCAAATGATAATTATTATATTACATTGATTTAATTCTATATTAGTTAAATTCAACTTTTACATTTTATATAGGTTAATGAGAGTGCATGACAGTAAGTTTTGTCTCTGATCATAAGTGTTTCGTTAAATTCAATGTCTACTCCAATGATATTGTATATTTATGAGACATATCGATTGTGACTGAAAACTTCCTGTTCGAAGGCTACCACCGTCATGATGACAGCATCGTGATGAGTACTTAAGTTTTTACTTTAATGTTGTTTTGCGTAGATTGATTTCTCGAAAATGTTGTTCTTTGAATTTTTAAATCTTTTCATAATAGATATCAAATAAGTAACTTTACTAGAGCAAACAAAACAATTAGAATAGAAATTTGATGTTTTTGTTTTATGAAACAAAACTATATGCAACGATGTTTATTTTAGTAAATCAAAGGCTTTGGATAAAACAGAACAATAAACCTGAAACACCATATGAGTTTCGTCTTGCCCAAGTTAATCGTAAAGATGGATTAAGTTTATATTCATCTGTTCTCAATGGATCTGATCGTGTGGACTTTATTTCTCCTGAAATTTTACATGAAAATGTGGCTAGTCATATTCTTCAATCAAAAGATATCAACGTTGATCACGTCTCATCTGAAGTACAATGTAAAACTCGTGAAGAATATTGGGATAAAATTAAACAATGTACTACATTGGGCGGTTCAACAGAACTGAATACTTTAGCATGTTTGTATCCAAAGCATTTATTTTGTGTTATTTCAAGAATCGAATGTGAATATGCGAAAGTTGTTGTAAATGTTTGTAAATATGTTGAAAATATTTTATCGTACAAGAAATGTATATTTATATATTATGATGGTATATCTGGTCATTATAGTCCTTTATATTTATATAACAAAACAAGTGAAGAAGAAGAAAAAAGCAATTTTAAATATGATGATGATACAATGAAAATTCTTCTTTTCAAATTTATTCAACAAGATCTTAAATGTGAGAAAAAAAAGATAAATTGACAAAAAAAGTATTATTGTGCTTTCTTTATATATAGATGACGACTATATTGATTTCGAAGAGACAAAGATAGTCGATCAACCTGCTATCATATCAAATGAAAAGAGTACGTGAAATATTTTGTGTTCCAGATTTTTATTTTTTATACATTTTATTTAAAGGTGATAATATATCTGATTCAATTGCTAACAATGATATGATGGATACAGAACAAACATTAGGTACAGAAAAAAATTTAAAATGAATTTCTTGTTCTAATTTTATGCAATTTATATATTACATAGAAAATAACGAGAATCCATCTATGAGTAATACTATCAAGATATTTCCATCGTCAACATCGAATATAAATGCAGGTATGTTAAACATTTCTATACATTCCAGTATTTCAAATAAATAAAACATTGTTTTCCTAACTAAATTGAATTCTTCTTAACTTGATTTTATTTTTATCTCATCAAAACTGTTTGATATTACTCGTAAATGGCATGCAGATACAGTAGGGAGAAAGGTTGTAGCTAAAAGTTGGAGAAGCTCGATCAGAAAACTCAAATACATGCTTTATTGATAAGAAAATGTAAAAGATTATGCACGGGGATATCGTTCTCAACTACAAAATTGACAGTAACATTCTTTTCTTTGTGACTTTTCTGTAAGAAATCCTTTTCTTTTTCTATTACACTCATTAGCATAAGGCAAATTTAAAAAAAAGAAACCTAAATTTTGAAATGCACTCTGTTTTCGTTTTTATTCATAAGATTTATATTTTGCGTATTGGTCTGATATGTAGTCGGAACGAACGATTCAATAGTCGAATTCGCTCACTATAGAGAAACTAATTGAATTGGACGAAATTCGGAACTGTTGATGATTTTGTTTCTGTCTGAAAGTATCGGAGTTCATTAACAAAAATTCTTTAGAATTTCGACAAGACTCATTTGTCAAGTTCTTCTCTAAAAAGAGATTTTTTTTGAATCAAAAGTTCAGGAGAAAGAGAAATAGATCATAAAAAGTATTTTTTGATCATACACCCTTATGGATGACCTTGAAGTGTTTTACATAGGAATAAAATATATTATGTGATTATTCACCAATTTGATTTTTTTTACATGAAATTATATCAGCAGAACATATTTCCATCAAAAGCAATTTTTTTGTTGGAAAAATGCATAACGAGTTTCAGTTTATTTTTATTATATTTATATAATAGATGATCTCATATTAACAGTAACGTCGAACATTACATCCGAAACAACACAAGAATTTTTTCGAAAATCTGTTCCTGCTGACGGTGATTGTCTATTTTCATCTCTTTCCAACGTACTCGATACATCTGGGAAGATTACCACTGCAAATTTACGTGAAAAAGCTGCTGATTTTATTAGTCAACCAGATAAAATTGACGTACTATGTTTATTGTATGAAACTGGAAAACCTCGTGACCAATATTGTTCTACGATTAAAAACACCAAAGCATGGGGTGGTCATCCAGAAATTGAAGCTATTGCTGAATCTTATGAAATAAGAATTCGTGTTGTAGATGTTCATACTCAACAATCACGTATATCTATTAGCGAATTTCCTTCAAAAAAAACGTCATTTGAACAATGTTGTTATATTATTCGTCAAAATAGTCATTATGAATCATTACATTTACGTATTGACAATAATTCAAAAGGCGAACGTGCAATTTTTAATTCTAATGATAAGAAAGTAAAGGAACTTATCTGTGATTTTATTGGAAAAGAGTTTCCTAGTAAGAAAATTATCAATTTGATCGAAAGAATAAAGTTGTTTATCTTTTATTTAATTATAGATTATAAATTGGAATCATGTAACAATCAGACAAATGTTGATGAGCTTTCAGTGCAACCAGTTGAGCAATGTTATTAAATGATTTGAATGTAATCTTGTTTCTAAATTTTATGTATTTGTTTTAGCTTTCGACAAACTTCCTGATCCAACTAATTTAATTAGCATAAATGATACAACGAATGTATTAAAGAAACGAAAGTTATCAAGTAAAAAGGAGTTCATTTCATTGGTTTGATGTCTTTTTTTTTCTAATTCAATATGAAATAGAAGACAGCGGGATTTCGTCTATGACAAAAACTACAAAGATATTGTCATCATCAAGTTTCGATACAAATGAAGGTTTGTTATATTTATTGTATATTCTACTAGCATTTTGACAATAATTCATTGAGAAAATAATATTTGAAATTGTATATTCCAAACATAGAATAATTAGTTTGAAAAAAGATACATCGATAGAAGTATTTATTAAAAAAGCGAGTAATATAATTAATTGAAAAAAAACTTTAAAAAACATTTTACAAAAATTTGATTTCATTTTCAATAAATGATATAGTCTTTGCCTGAAGAATTAATTCATCCCATATTTGTAATTTTTATATCTAAGCATGTTAAAACGATTAACTTAGATTATTCTTCAATTTATTCGGTTTCGTTTTTTTTTTATAGTCAATATACAATCGTCGACCGAGTCTTGTCGAACTCCATTAAGTCATAGAATATATGCATTAGGCAAGTTGATCATTATTTATTTTCAAAATATTTACCAAAATATATTGTATTATCTTAGATGTAAACAATAATTTACCGAGCAACATTGATGAACTTTTTCAAACAAATTTTTCTCGAATAAAATTAAAAATTGAACCTGCAGAACAATTTCGTGCTCGTGCTCTAAGTGATTATATACCAAAGAAAGAATATAAACGTGATGGTAAAACGAGGGCTGAACGAAGATGTCCGACTTATTTTGCTGATCGAGTTGCTGAAAACAATAAGCACAAAAAAAAATTTCTGACATTATTGGTTTGTTATTTAAATAAGAAAATAAGTATTTATTAGAATATCTATTTTAGATCCCGACAACGCTTGTATTCGGCCAAAATCCCATTGATCTTAATCGTGTTGCAGTAGAAATTTGTATTGTGACACGAACCATCGATGGATGTATTTATATTCATCCTTATTATAAATTTTACAAACCTGAAAATGATGGAGAATACTTTTTATCTAATCCAATGTTTATATGTCTTGGATATGATAAGGGTTATGAAAATTTGATCGACAGCAAGGGAGATCTGACAGAGATCATGGGAATACTAAACATGAAGTAGGTTTTAAAAATATTTCATATTTCTTTTTCTCTTATATTGAATTATAGTCTCTATTTGACGGTCATACATATTCTAAACAGTCAACTAGAAACACTAGAAAAGCCAATTGAACCTTTTGAATCGAAAAATTCGAGTATGTGAAGAGAATTTTTAACTCACTTTTTAATGTACATATGTTGTTTTATTAGATGGAATAGCTGATACAAAAATATACAATAAATCTGATGTATTGAAAAACAAGTTTCATTTAAATGATCTTCGTTTTGCCATAACATTATGGATGAAAAAAGATGGCGAAGAGACATATAGTCGGCGTGTTGATCTTCAATATATTAGTGAAATCTCTACCGGACAATCACAGCAAACTCTTAATGATAATCAATGATAAAAATATACAAACAGTTTTCTTTGTTTGTTTTCAGTTTACTCCGTAGTCAGAAAAATAAATATACCGGTATATTTATCTTTTTAAAAGTAATATGATTGTGATATTACTTTGTTTTATTCTACTCGTTTAATAATGATATATATATATATAAATATTATATAATGGCATTGTCTTTATTTTGGAAATATTCAAATAGATGTTATATATTATTTCAACAAATTGAATGAAAAGAGTTTGTCTTGAATATAACGATTAATTTTTCATGTACATTAGACAATTATTGACGAAGTTCAATATCAATTGATATATTCTTTTGTAATACGAAACATACTGAGAAAAAGAATTTTATCAAGGGACTCCTACAAAAGTTCAGTTCTTCAACAGAAAAATTAAAGTGATTCTTAACGATATGATTGTTTCAGGACTTGTATTGTGCATTTCATCGCCACAACGAGCATTGTTGAGAAGAAGGTTTATCAGAATAAATATCATCAGTATGAAGATTGTCGTGTTTCTTTGAATGATCTATAGCAATATTGTTCTAGCAAAGTGCTTTTTCATTTGACGAATCATTATGTTTTTGTTTCAGTAAAGGACAAAGCACGATACTTTTTCAAAATGGTAAATCTTTCAGATAGTTTGCTTTTGTTTGCAGTAAGCAGCATTAAAAGCACAAAATGCATCATTTAAAGTGCTATACAGCATGGAACTTTCATTTGATGGTGCCATAACTTCTATATAATGAGGTGATCTTGTTGACTTTGATTCATTTCTAGCGACCATCTGTGATTGACACCTTATCAATAGAGAAAATCATTATCTATTGATATGTACTTCGCATTTTCCTCGAAAAAATGTTTTGTATGAAAAAATAACTGAAACGTGAATCTTTAAGGGAGCATCATCATTGGAAACGAAAAATAACATGACTGTTTCGACATTACAATGAATCATTCATGATTGCTTCATCTTTCGAAATGACATGAAAAAGTCCAAATTTTTACATTTTTTCTCGAGCAATGTCTTAGTTTCTGATGCTCAAATTATTTTCGAGTTGTTATATTTTACTTAAGTCAAGCTTTAATGAGTTTGATTATAACTTCGGCATTAACTCTTTTCCCCAAATACTGTACATGATCTGTGCTACTGTGATCATTATATAGTACACACAAACAATTTTTACTGAAAATGCTAATAGAGCACAACATATTTCAATAAAAACGGGCAAAATATCTGTTTCAATGTCGAATAACTACTTTCAGAATTTTCTTTATCTAAAATGAGATTTATATCTAATTGTTGTTCGACAAAATAAGTGACGAAAAGATGAATTTAAAGTGGATTAAATCGTAAATCATCAAGATTTATTTATTTCAGCATTTGCATTTTCTTAGATTCCCGATTATCTATATGTCTCTAATCTCTCAAAGACTTGATAATTATGTATTAAGATTAGAAATTTTATGTTGAAACAATCCTTAAGAATGTTAACTCTCTAATCATTGATATTTACTTTTGATCTGCTTCTATTGAACTGAAATCAATCCAATGGCCTATTTGAGAATCACTTAAGTTGAAGAAGAGAAAGCACGATTAACACAGACGATTACATGATCAAATCTGAAGAAAGCACATGAACAAACGAAGTCTTTATTATGGCAGTGTAGTTTACGATTATTTAGTTTATCAAACAAAAATTACAAACAATAAGCTGGCTGTAACTTGACAGTCAAATTCAGTATTTCCATTCTGAATTTTTTTCCATTATTCAATCATATGTTTGATTTATATACATTTGAGTATTAGATTGAACATCAATGATTAAACAAATGCTAAGATGATAACTTGTACCACAGGGATAATCAAGCGACGATGTGTAAATAAAATTGAAAAAAACAATAATTTACTTAAGGTGAAGCTTAGTTTTGAGTAGAAGAGTATAAACTACGTCAATATTGACTTTTTTTCTTGATGGTTGGGGTTTTCACCAGTCAAGCTATTCGATTTTTCATTGAACCGATAATCATTTTGGACTAAATGATAAGCATCTAGCATGCTTTCAAGAATAAATGAATAAATAAAGCAAATCATTCACTCATTCATCAAATAATTCAGACTTGACAGATTATGCTTTGAATCAAAAGATAGCTCTGTAGCGCAAAAGTATATGATCATTTGATGTCTAGATAGTTTCGAGAAACGAAATCGTTGAAATATTTTTCCATATGAAAAATTAATTCTGAATATGATTAAAGATCATTTTATTACTGAGCGTCAGCAAAAGAGGTTAACAAAGAGCAAATGATTGGTTATATAAAACACCATTAATACATACTTGGTTTTTTTCTTAGCGAAAAAAACCTGTCAAATGTTCTGTGTTTGCATATAAATGATTCGTAAGTTTTATTCTAAATGCTCAACGAGTATTAAATACTATGGGCAACACATCCAGGGAAATTGATGAATTACTACAGGAGTATAATTGCGGTGATAATTCACGATCACCTATGTTGGTATCACTAGAACAAAATGAAATTGATTTAAATATATTAGAAGAATGCTCGTCTTTTGATGACGGTAAACAAATTATTAAATACAATTCGTTTGTTAAATTAATCTTCTTTTTGTAGTAATTTTCGATGAATTGAATAAATTTTGGATTGATTTGAATAAGTCGATACAGACAGATTCATCAGGTAACATACATGTAAATTTTTGTTGTCTTTCTAATTTTTTAATTTTCACACGGCAAAGATGATGAGAGAACAAATAGAAAATTCATCAAAAATTATATATTTTAGAAATCTATAAGATTCATTTCAGTAATTAAAATTAAAAAAACTGACCTTTGTTTCTTTCAAATGAAAATAATTATATCACATTGGTGGAATTCTATATTAGTTAAATTTAATTTTTATATTTTATATAGATTAATGAAAGTGCGGCACTATAAGTATTTTTCTGGTATTAAGTGTTTCGTTAAATTCAATGTCTACTCCGATGATATTGTATATTTATAAGACATATCGATTGTGACTGAAAACTTGCTGTTCGCAGGCTACCACCGTCATGATGGCAGCGTTGTGATAAGCATTTAGGTTTTTACGTCAATGTTGTTTCGCGTCGATTGATTTCTCAAAAATTTTGTTCTTTGAATTTTTAAATCTGTTCATAAATTACACCAAACAAATGATCCTAATAGAACGAACAAAACAATTAGAATGGAAACTCGATATTTTTGTTGTATAGCATAAAACTACATGCAATCATGTTTATTTTAGTAAATCAAAAATTAAGAAAAACGAAGAACAATACATCTGAACCATCATATGAGTTTCGTCTCGCAGAAGTTAATCGAAAAGATGGATTAAGTTTATATTCATCTGTTCTCAATGGATCTGATCGTGTGGACTTTATTTCTCCTGAAATTTTACATGAAAATGTGGCTAGTCATATTCTTCAATCAAAAGATATCAACGTTGATCACGTCTCATCTGAAGTACAATGTAAAACTCGTGAAGAATATTGGGATAAAATTAAACAATGTACTACATTGGNTGGACAAGTTTGAACAGAGGAGTCGAATACATGTTTGAATGATAATTTGACATAAAAAATGGCACAGAATTACATCATTCTGAATTAATAAACTGACAGTAATGCTGAACATATACAGGGTGTCCCAAAAGTCACCTACCAAAAAGAAAATTGTATATCTCCACTGTATTCTGACCAAATGAGCTGAGCTTTTTTCTGATGATAGAGAAAACTTCTAAGTTTTTATTCATCAGCAAAAAGTTGAATAGCATCGCTTAAAGCTATTATCATTGATTTAGAAGAGAAATAGTCACATTTCTGCCGAAGATAAACGATAGATTTGGGGTTTTTGTAATCTGATGCAAATTCTTCATGTTCTTAGATTTTCTCGAATTTTCTCAAATTTATTTGAATCCTTGAGTTTTTGCCAGCCTATCTGGCTTCTCAAGAACTGCACAAGATTCTCTCAACTATTCGAGATTTTATTGACAGATTCTATTTTGTAGAGCTTTTTCTGCTGATCTTTTTGGTAAAAGAAATTTTCTATTTTCATCAAGAAATGACGGTACTAAGGTCAAAATACTGGAAAACGTCAAATAGCGCTGGCAGCAGCAATGCGACGTTTTTTAGTATTTTGACTCTAGTACTATCATTGCTTGACGAAAATATAAAATTCTTTTACCAAAATAGTCGGGACAGAAAGCTCTACAAAGCAGAACTTGCCAATAAGTTTTCAGAGACATTTCAGTTTTTTTTGTGGTCGATTACTGATAGAAGTATCTGGAAAAAATGCAAATTCAGTATTGAAGTGGATAATGCTAGGTTTCAAGTGTGTTAATAAGCTGCTGCTAAATAAATAAAAACTTGGAAGTTTTCTCTATCATCAGAAAAAAATCAGCTCATTTGGTTAGAATACAGTGGAGATATGCAATTTTCTTTTTGGTAGGTGACTTTTGGGACACTCTGTACATTACAGAATCAATCACCTTTTGATTGTTTAATCTTTAACCAAATCTAGTTTTTTTTAACTATTGTTTTCTTTTGATATTGTGCTCATTAGCACACGATAGATTTAAAGACAAGACGCATGTTTTATATATTTATCTGGCAGGTAGTTAGAACGAACAATTCAGCGATCAAATTCTGTCAGACACTGGAAAGAAACTTATTGGATCAAACAGAATTCAGAACTACTCACGATTTTTGTTTCACTAAACTCCAACAGTCTGAAAGCGCTGAAATTGAGTAAAAAAAATTGTGTAGAATTCCGCTAGGATTCATTTGTATTATACTTCTTCTTTTATATACTTCGCATAAACTGCGGTTTGATGGAAAAGAATAATATTAGTTACACAAAAACAGTTTTTCTCTAAGAAGAATTTTTAAACTACAAGTTCAAGAGAAAAAGAAATCAATCAAGAAAAGTATGTTTTGACGAAATATCCTTATGGATGAACACTTGATGTTTTACACTAGTCTATATATATATATAGGATTAAAATATATCATAGGACTATTAATCAATTTGTTTATTTTCTTTTTCGTTCATTACTCACTTAAAACATATAAAATGAATATTATCATTTTAACTTCTAAAACAAACACGAGATAATAATCTTAGTTTTATTGTTGTCTACATAAAATCATATCAGCAGAACATATATCGAATAAAGATCACTGTTTTTAGTAAAAACATATAACAGGTTTTAATTTAACTTTAATTCTGTTGCTATAATAGACGATCTCATAACAACAGCAACATCAAAAAGTACATCAGAAACAACACAAGAATTTTTTCGAAAACCTGCTGTTGGTGGCGGTCACTGCCTTTTCTCATCTCTTTGCAACATACTAGGTATTTCCGAAAAGATTACCATCAAAGACTTACGTAAACAAGCTGCCAATTATAATCGTCAACCGGGTAAAATTGACACACAATGTTTAACGTATGAAACCAAGAAAAGTCTTAAACAATATTGTGACCAGATTGAAAACACCAATGCATTCGGTGGTGAAGCAGAAATTCGAGCTATAGCCGAATTGTATAAGATAATGATTCGTGTTGTAAAAGTTAATTCTCAAAAATTATGCGTATCTATTTCTGAGCATCCTTTAAATGAAACATCATTTGAAAAATGCTGTTATATTATTCTTGAAAACAAGCATTATGAATCATTACATCTACGTATTGACAATAATTCAAATGAAGAACGTTCACTTTTTGACTGTAATGATGAGGAAGTAAAGAAACTTATGCGTGACTTTATTAGAAAAAAGTATCCTGGTAAGAAAACACTGAATTTGAAACAAAGAGTAAAGCAATTATTCTTTATTCAATAATAGCTTATGTTTGGGAATCATGCAACAATAAGACAAATGGGAATCAACTTTCAGGACAAACTGTTCCAAAATGTTAACAAATGACATAAATGTAATCGTGTTTTTCAATTTTTATGTATTTGTTTCAGCTTTTGACGACACTTTTGAGTCAGTTAATTCAACTACGACGATTGCTACAAAGAATTCATCAAAGAAACGAAAGCTACAAGGTAATAAAAGAATCAATATTATTGTTTTAAGTTATTTTGTTTAAATATTAAATAGATGATGACAATAATATTTCTATGGCTGGAACTAAAAAGATATTGGCATCATCAATTTTGAATACAAATAAAGGTTTGTTAGGCTGTTTCTTTATTTTAGTAGCATTTCAATAATGATTTGTTATGAAAATAATATTTGATATTGTATGTCTAAATTAAAAAATTGTTGTTCTTCAAAAAAAAAAGCGAATTTACAACATATATTTAGGCTTTGAAGAAAATTATTATAAAAGAGATTCATCAATAGAAATATTCAACATAAAGTGAGTCATATGATTGCGCGAAATAAAACTTTAAAAAGAATTAAAACAAATTGTTTGATTCCATTTGTACTGAATGCTATAATCGGTATTAAAACGAATTCTATTAATCGCACGTTTGAGACTTTCATATTCCAGCATGCTAAAACTAGTAAATTAAATTTTCCTTACATTGATCTCATTCCGTTTTTTATAGTTAATATTCAATCGTCGATATATTCCTGTTCAATTTCTTCAAGTGATAGAATATATGTATCAGGTAAGTTGATCATTATTATATTTTTCAAAATATTTACTAACATGTGATATGTTCTTAGATGTGAACCGTGTTTCATCGAGCAACTCTGAAGAGGTTCTTCAATCACATTTTTCTCATTCTTTGGATTGTAAGATTAACCTTAGAAAAGATCTCTTTGTCAATGTTATGGAAAATTCTAGATTCTCCTGTAGAGCAAATGAATCAACAACAAATAAAATTAAAAAGTGAACCTGCAAAACAATTTGGTGCTCAGTATTTAAGTGATTATGAACCAACAAATGAATATAAACGTGATGGGAAAACAAAAGCCAACCGAAGATGTCCGACTTATGTTGGTGATCATGACGATGACAACAATAAGAGCAAAAGACACAGTCTCACATTATTGGTTTGTTATTCAAATGAAGAAAAAGATATTTATTAGAATACCTATTTTAGATTCCGAAAACACTTGTGTTTCGTCAAGATCCTGTTGCTCTTGAGCGTGTTAAATTAGAAATTTGCATTGTAACACGAACCATCGATGGATTTATTTATAGGCATCCATATTTTAAATTTTACGAACCCAGAAACGATGGAAAATACTCTTTATCTAATCCAATGTTTATACACCTTGGATATGATGATGGTTATGAAAAGTTGAGTGATACCAACGGAAATCTGACAGAGATCGACGGAATACTAAACGTAAAGTATGTTTTAAATATATTTCATATTTCTTGTTCTTGAATACTAAATTTTAGACTCTATTTGGCTGTCATACATCTTCTAAACAAAGAGCTAGTGAAAGAGCCAATAGAACCTTTCGAATCATTATATTTCAGTATGAAAAGCATATTTTAAACCCATTTTTTATATGAATATTTTTTTTTTATTAGATAGAAAAGCGGATATAATAAAATGCAAAAAACCCGATGAATTAAAAAAGAAGTTTTATTTAAATGATCTTCGTATTGCTATAACACCATGCATAAAAGAAGATGATGAAGAAGACTACACACGGCGTGTTGATCTTCAGTATATTAGCGAAATCTCGACGATAAAGACAAAGTAAAGTCTTACTGATAATCGACGAAAATATATATATAGTCAGTTTCTTTTGTTTTGTTTTTCGTTTTAGTTCAAAGTCAAAGAAATAGAAAAAACCGGTTCATTCGTTCTTTTGAAGTTAATATGAATATGCTTTTTTTTTATTCTCATTCTTAAATAGTAATAAATAAACAAAATTAAATAGTATATTTTTGTTCTTTTAAAAATATTCAAATTGATATTATATATTATTTCAGCAAATTAGATAAAAAGAAAGAATTGTTCTTCAAGAGAAGGGTTAATTCTAAATGTATATGAGACGATTTATTGGTGAAGTTTAATACTGATTTATATTCTTTTGTAATACGAAACATAACGAGAAATAGTACTTTATCGAGAGACTTCGAACAACATTCAATTCTTAAACATAAAACTTAGAGTAATTTTTTAAAGATACGATGATACAAAAAATTGGTGGATTTATCTCATTGCCACAACGAACATTGCCGAACAAAAAGTTCCTAAAATTGAATATCATCAATAAGAATATTGATCCATATCAGCGACTTCAACTTTGGTGGTCATTCTTTTCATTCACTTTTTTTAAATACATTTTAATAAAATGAAAGTATTTAACTATAATGCATACATCATGCATTGACATCTAATCTCGTCTTAGCTAGTAGCATAGTGACTAACTTGTCATAGCCACTATGATTACTAAATTCAATTAATATCGATATACATTATATTAAAATGTTTCTAATAAAGCGCGCATCATCTTATAATATTACCGTTGGCTATGTCGCCAAAATATCCACTAATAATTGAAATTGAGGATAAAATTATTCAAGAGTTGTTCCACATCAAGATTACCAAGTATTTTTAGCTACTTCGTAAATATAATAGATTTCGATAGATAAAATAGATAGTTACAATATTCTAACTTATCTTAGGTAAGATAGCATTTTCAAAATAGTTTATGATTTGTCTACCCGCACGTATGTCAGTGGATAATAGAAGGCTTAAATAATTAGCTGTTGTTTCGTTTCTGTGAGATTATTATTAAACATGAAAAGAAAAACACAAAGACCCTATGTCTTAATTCTTGTTACAGAAATCATTTGCTCTACACTATCTATCTTGGTAATTTTATTAGCAATTTAATCTTTACAAACAAATGCAATCCAAGTTTTTGGAAAAAAATACTTTTGAAAATTAGACATGCTCTGTCTTCACAATATAATTTGTTTAATTATTTCTAGTTAACGATATGAACTTGCAAAGATTTTCATACGATCTGTTTGATAACACCTATAAGAAAATTTTAAAAAATACAGAATGATTCATTTCTTCGGAACCAGTAGATATATTTAATGTATCTTAAACGTATCGGAATCAAATTAAGAATTTCAATGACGAATTTTTGCTTGTTATTAAAAAATACCTCTTCAAAAATATTTCACTTTATATAATCATGAAATACTTAGTTAAAATTAAAAACACACATGATCGATAATACTCGTGCAGTTCATTTAAAATTTAAAATTTTATTGAATATTTCAAGTAGAACCAAACTAAGTGAACTTGATTCATACAGATATAATTGAATAGCTAAATATTTAGAAATTATGAGAGAAATAACTAATTTAACTGAACAACATGAATGAATAAATTTGTATGTGAGAAACAGTAAGAGTGTATCTCAATACTTCAGCTATATGGTTCATGAAGCTCTTTTGCTTCAATTCTTGTAAACGAAAATGATAAGTGCAAAACTTGACTCGAATTTTTCGAGTAATAACGAGACAGTGACGTCACAATACCAAGTCTTGAAAATAGTGGTTGCGTTTCGTTGATAGATGTAGCATTCCTGAGATCAGTGCTTCATCCAGCATGAAGATAGTGCTTCTCTGACGATTAGGCTGGTCCTCCTGAAGTTTTTGGTTATCCATATCAGGTAATAATGAATGATCAGAAAGTTTTTCTATAACATGTGTGTTCACTTTTGACGTATTTCCGATGAGTCAAAAGCTATGATTTTGTGCTCTTCTCAAACGTGAACTTCGAAAAGTTGTGTCTTTTGGGGGGACTTTTTGAAAGCATTGAAAAAATATTTTTAATGGTAAGCCAATAGGTTTTTTGTTTATCCAGTAAGTCCCTTTTCGAACATGTTAAAAGCTATCTGGGTCAATCGTTTTGTAGAGCGGATGATTTGAGATGTCTTGTCAAAAGACAAAAGAAAGCTTCAAATAGTATGTTTTTTAGAGTAGCTTCTGATCTACAAGCTGATATAGAAATAAATATCTTAACTTTTAGATTCGAACTATTTTTTGAACTTATTTCAGTACTCTCGAACAAAACTTTCAAGTCCATATTCAAAAAGAGTATAAAACTATAGCTTTTGATTTGTTAGAAATACGGTAAAAGTGAGCAAGCATCTCGTCTGAACGTTTGCAATATATTTTTTAATGTTTCAATAGAAAATAATAATTAGACAAGAATATTCTATACGTGCCACAAAGAATTCTATCTGAAGAAAAAAAGAATTATTGATGTCATCATTAAAAAGAGATGTCGCCAAGAATCTGAAAAATTACGTAAGAAAATCAGTTAGTTAGTCAACAGTAGAAGGCATTCATACGATGCCTCGATAAATGAAATTATATTCTCTATAATGCTATTCATTTGTTCGTTCGAACGAACTGTTTAACACAAAAACATAATATCGGTATGCATGTGTTTTGTATTCTTTATCTCTGTTTCTCTTTCTCTTTCTCTTATTGCTTTCATTTTCATTTTTATTATCAGATTTTAAATGTCAGCAGCCTCTTATCATTATACATCTTCCACTAATGGTGGTGCAAATCGTGAACATACACGAAAACGTATCTATATTTTTTTTTTGTATTTTATTATTCATTTTAAATAAATATATTTCTAGCTCGTTATGACACACGTAATAAAGATATTGGTTCATCGTCATCTTATATGACATCAAATACACATCATCATCACTATTATCGTCGTCCATTATCACCAGTATCAGTTGAAGATGTATGTAATCGTATTAATAAAGTTTCATTTGAAAATTATAATCATATAAATGGTACTCGAATACGTAATCGTTCCGCAGAACCTCGTCATTCGGATAAACCTCATAGTAATCGTCCACCATCAGTTAATGCAATTCGATCTGTTGTACCTGACCGATCACAACAAGATCAAATCCCTATTTGTTCACGGCCAGATTCAGGTGGTAGTAAAGGACAATGTATTACACTTTATACAAATCATTTTAAATGTAATTTATCTGATAATCTTGCTATTGTATGTATTATTTTATTTGAAAAAAAAAAACAAAAAACAAAAAAAAAATTTTTTTTTCTCATAGAATCAATATACTGTTCATGTTAATATATTTAAACGTGGTAAATGGTGTAATGCAAATAAACGTCAACATAATCGTTTCGAAATAGTTCAAAAAATTCTCGAACGAGAAGCTGATAATCTACCATTTGTATGGTAACTAACAAAAAAATATTTATCAATTTTTTTTTAAAGATACATTTCACATTTATTCTATATGACAACATTCGGGAATAACTTGAATAGTTTATTTTACTATTTTATTTAATATAATAACTTATGCATGGAAAATAAAGTTTGAACGGATTTTGGTACTTAATAAAACCTCTAGGATAGAAGTAACATTTATTCTAAATATACTAATAGAAAGAGCAAAGCATATTCTCATCAACAATTTCCTACAGTCCTTAGTTGATTTTGTAGAAGACAGTTTGAGGCTTTATACTGCGCAAAGAATTGCTAATAAGGTGTTTCCAATCAGGAATGTCACTTATGCTGACAAGGAAGTCTATTATACAGATGCTAATTCAAAATGTGATGTAGTCAAAGGAAAGAGAGTGGATATCAATCAGTGAGTTCTCGATATGTATGAAAATTTCAGATGAAAATTCGAAAACCCGAAACCTCTAGAAAAAAAAAACTCGATAGCTTAGTCAAATCTCAATAGAAACCGAAATAATTTTAGAGTTTTTATTAAAACACTATATAGGATCTGTAGATAAAAAAAATCACTGATATCGGAAAGGGAGCATTTGAAGAGATTCGTTTATCAGTCTTTTCAAACAAATCTAACGTTTCTCTTCATGAACAGAAGAAAATAAAACTTGTTCTCAACAAGTTTTATTGAAGAGAAATGACATATCTATAAAATAATCTCCAATTGACGAAGACCAAGATTACAACTCTAACTTAATTTTGATTTTAATCAACTGTTTAATACTTCCTCCTAATCTTCCTCATTAGTGAAAACAGGAAAGAATATTTAAGTTTAGATGCATACATTAACATTGATCATACCGATCATAAAATAGCTACACTCTTATACTGTAATGACGCATATTTAAATAATAATTTTTTCTTTTGTTTATTTAGGTTTGATGACGGAAATTTTCTTTATTCTCGTGAATTATTACTTGATAAAGCTAAAACTTATGAAATAACAATAAAAAATCAACTATATCAATTAGCTATAAAAGATATGTCAGATCGTGTTACAGTTGAAGATATGTGGCAATTTGTTCGAAGTAAAACACCATATAAACGTCCTCAAGATTTAATACGTATGCTTGAAACATTACTTAAACAAACAATACGTTCACGTATGGTTTGTATTCGAAATCAATTTTTTGAAAAAAATCAAACATTATATGATGATGGTTCGTATTTAGTTTTTTTTTTTTTCTTGAAAATAAAATTATAAGTCTTTTGTTTAAAGGATCATTTCAAAATAGTGGTTTTGCATTAGCTCAAGGTTTTTATCAAGCTATGTTTGTTACACAAGCTGGACCAACATTAACAATTGATACAAAATGTTCATGTTTTTATCGTAATATTGATATGCTTCATTTTATATCAATTTATCTTGGACGAGATATCACAATGAATGGAGGTATGATGTCTCACGATGAAAAACATGCATTATTAAGAATGAAATGTTTGGAAACAATTACTATTGAAACTCGACATACAAATAATAAAAGTAAAGCATAAAAAATAAAATATTTTTCTTTAATATTATTCTCTTTGCTTGTTTGTTTGTTTTTTTTGCTCAGTGGTTTATAATATTCGAGGCTTTGGTGATAATGCTGATTGTCATCCTGTAACATTAGATGGAGCTGATGGTGATTCACGTAAAATGTCTGTAACAGAATTTCTTGCTGAAAAATATAAAATTAAATTAAAATATCCACGTTTACCAACACTTGAATGTGTTAATAAAGGAGCACAAAATTCATCATATATACCAATTGAATTATGTTTTGTTGAAGAATGGCAAATAGTTGATCGATCTTTAATGACATCAGAACAAAATGCTGAAAAATCTAAACGTTCAATTTTATTACCTGAAATACGTTTTAATAAAACAATGACAATAGCTCATGAAAGAAATTTTAATAATGATCCATATTTAAAACATTTATCAATGACTATTGATACCAATGAAATGTTACAAATTAAAGCACGTGTACTTGATCCACCTAATATTGTTTATCGAAATAATCGTATTGTTTCAGTTACTATTGGTAAATGGCTTATGAAAGGAAATCAATTACAACAAGCTACACGTGTTCATAAAGTAAAAATAAAAATTTTTCAAATATTGATTAGATAATGAAATTTGAATTTTAGTGGGAAATGATTTTAGTTAAGGATGGAAAACGTGAACCAGGACATATGGATATGCAAAAATTAGATGAATTTTGTAATATGTTACCAGAAGTAAGTCAATTCGGTTTAGTGCATTAATAGCAGAGATGTCCATCATGTCCTTAAATCTGCGATTGTCGCGGCAGTGTTGCCATGGACATCTCTAATGAGACTATGCAAATTATGTAGATCCAAAATGTGTTTTGAATGTCCGGGATGCTTAGCTTATTACTACCTAGATACTGCTATTTAATGATATTTTTTAAAAGGAATGTCGTGATAACAGAAAAAATGATTTTCGAATTTTGATTTGAAACTTTGCATAGAGACAATCATTAATGAGAGTAGTATCAGATCTTTTGATTTGCTTCTATCCTGAAGAATGCAGATGTCAGTGCTTTAGTAAACTGTCTGTTGGTGACATACTGTCTGCATTTTGTACCACATTGCGCATTCCTATTTTAAGTTCAGACTGATAACTGGAATATTTAATCATTTCTACAGATTTTCGGAATTAGATAATAACGAAATTTTAAAAGATGAGCATATTCACGAAATCATAAATGCAGAAAACGTATTAGAAGTTAAAAGGTATTGAGAATCAGGATAAAGTGAACAACATAAGCTTATAAACGCATAACTCGGAATAGTTCATAAATTAAAAATTTTATTAGTAGAGAATGAGAGATATTTGATCTTCCATAAGGCTAAAACCATTTGAGCTATGTGAAGTTTTGCCTATAGAAAGGTTAAGTGACCAGCGGAATATCCTGAAAGTTTTATCACTAAAGGATTATAAGTTTGTTTTTTTGCTGGATCTTTTTAGACAACGCGTCGCTATGGAATACAAATGAATCCTCATTTTGAAACGAAAATAATTTCTCATCATCAAATTCGTCAATGTGTTCATGATTTACATGCAAGTGGTGCTGAATTTGGTTTATTTATATTAATTGGTGATTGTCCTGAATCATATCAAACTATAAAACGTTGTGCATTACAAGAATTTGGTATTATTACTCTTTGTAAGTTCATATTTGTTATAATTTTTATTAAACAAAAATCTATTATCCTCTATTTCATAGGTTGTGATTTAGGTTCAATTCGAAAGCAAAATAATCCTGGCAAACTTGTAAGTTTTTTTCTTTTTTGTGACTTTGTAAAATATTTTGTTCTTTAAAAATGAAATTTAGAATGCTTACATTGAAAATGTTGCTCAAAAAATGAATGCACGTTTAGGTGGTATTAATTCAACAGTATCATTTAAAAAAATTTTTGTCGATCAACCAAAATCGAATGGTGATGTTTTTATGTTTATTGGTGCTGATGTTTCACATGTTGTTGTTTCCGAACGTAAACCATCAATAGCAGCTGTTGTTGCAAGTGTATCACCAACATCAACACAATATATATGTCGTTCAAGTGAACAACGACCAGTAAAAGATAAAAAATATTCATTAGAAGTTATTAAAGATTTTCAACCTATGACACGTGATCTTTTACATGTATTTGTACAAACAAATAAACAATATCCAACGAAAATTGTTGTTTATCGTGATGGTGTTGGTAAGAAATCAGATTTATTATTATTTTTTTGTGAAATATCATCTAAAATAAGTGTTGAAGTACAAAGATAGACAGCGACGGCTCGAAGCAACCAACATTGGGGGGGGGGGGAGAGACTGCGGTTTTCCGCAAAGAGAGAAGATCTTCATTCGGACAGAATGTAAACAGAATTTCAGCTCTTCTGGAAAATAATAAAGATTTTTCATGATATAGAATGGTTACATCTCCAACGCCCTATCGATCGGGTCACCACGAAAGGTACAAATTTGGACACACTCTTAATCCCCTTCACTTTGGGCCGTGATAGATGCTAGGCTGAGATCATCACAGGCCCTAGCCGCAAGTCATCATAGACAGTGACAGACAACTACTTACTTATCCATCTGATTAGCCACAGCAATTGCATCGTCTTTTACATTTTAATCCATCAGAGATTAGGCTAACAGCCTTTTTAAAATTATTTTCATTTTTAGATGAAGGACATTTTCAAAAGATACTTGATAATGAAGTTCAGGCACTGAAAAATGCTTGCTTAGGTAAATAAATATTATTATTATTATTATAAATTAAAATGTGAAAATTTTTCATATAGAGGTATATGGTAATCGTCCATTACCAAAAATAACATTTGTTATAATAAAAAAATCACATAATACACGTTTTTTTGCTTATGATGGTCAACGTATAACAAATATGGCTGCTGGCACAGTTATTGATACAACTATTGTACATCCACGTCAATTTGATTTTTATCTTAATTCTCATGCCGGTGCACTTGGTACTAATGTTTGTTCCTATTATCATGTTTTGTATAATGAAATAGGATTTACTAGTGATGAATTACAACAATTAACTTTTTGGGTAAAGAAAAAAAAGCCTATTTTAATTCGTAAAGAAAAAGAAAATTTTATTTATTAATAGCTTTGCCATACTGATGTGCGATGCACAAAAGCTGTAAAATGTCCAGCAGCTGCTCGTTATGCTCATACAGTTGCTTATCATGCAAGATATTTTGAAAAAGAACCATATCAAACAACATCACAACATCACGCAAATCGAGATACTACACAGTAAAATATAATTGTTTATTTTATTTTTAAAAGCTTTTTCTGTTTTTTTTTTTAGAGATGAAGATGATCTTACTTTAGAAGATATCAAAAGTAATCTTATTATGGTTAATAAAAATGTTAAAAACATGATGTGGTTTACATAAATAAAAATTTTTAGCGTTGTTTTTTGTTTGTATTATTCTATCTTTTAGAAAAAAAAAAAAAAAAGAAAAACATTTCCTTGATTATAAACACGCTTTTTTTCTGAGCAAAGATTTATCTAACTTAACATAGTGTTCTTTGTGTATTTGTAATACATTTCTACACTCTTATTTGTTTTGTTGGATATGTGTGCTCGATTGTTTGTTTATTGTTTTTTGTTTTGTTTTACATTGATCCTAGCGAGTTCATATTCTTATTCATGCGATACATTTTAAGCATTGAAATGAACTTGTAATAAACAAGAAGAAGATAAAAAACAACTAGAAGAATAAATAATCATAAAAGTTTACTGATAAGTTTTTCTATTGATATTTTGAGATTAATGTCGTATGTTTTCGAAAGATATTTTATGATTTCACTAACAATCATTTTTGTTCGCAAACAAATAATATAATAAATGTGACTTTGAGAAGAACGATTTTATGATTTTTAATTCAATTCGTTTATCTTCAAAGCGCGAAAATCAATATTTTTTTCTTAAAATCAACAAAGAAAAAAATAAATGGTCTTCATCTAGCTCCACAATTATTGAAGACTCTTCAGTTATAGTATGTCTGTCAATAAAATCTTGATAAATTTTATTTTTTATGAATTTTTACTAACCGCAAGGTTTACAATTACACTTACTTGAAAGAAAATGTACCGAGACAATATAAAGTTTATGATATTTACAAGACAAAGTTGACAATTTGATTTAAATGATCTCTAAATATAGTAAGTCATTCATATCAATAACATCGAGTACTATTTATTACGATGATTAAGAAAATATATTGATACTATCAAAGATTCAAGTATGAAAAGAAAAGGTTGGTAATGTATTTTACTAAATTTGTTTTCGTCAAAACTGTATAATTGTTCGACTAAAACAATTGATTATGAATCAAAAAAAAGTTCTTGGAATATTGTTGGTTTTACTTTTGATTCATTTCCATATGATTGAAATGAAACGCTATTTAAAAATGGCATCGATTGTAATGGAAAATATAACCTTTAATAAATTACCACAAAGTCGAACTTTACATTATCATACAATACTTAGTGTTGCTCCATTTCCATATATGCCTGATCTATGGAATAGCAATAATAATCATTTGCTTCAATTTATTCAAAATGAATTTAATGCAGCTCATCCTGGTATCTATCTTATTTTACGTCCAATGAATACTCAAGAAGATTTTTATAATCTGACATTTCTTGAAGATTTCTTAACGGCCAATGATTCAGGATATGATATAGTCGAAATTGATACTGTGGTTTTAGGTGATCTTGTTGCTGCTGGTCTTATAACTCCACAAACTTATCCTATTTTACCAGATCAAATTCCTTCAGATTGGCATCCAGCAGCTGGTGCAGCTGTCCAAATAAATCAGGCAGTATACGCTTTTCCTCATCTTATGTGTGCCTATTTTCTTTTTACTCACGGAAATCCAGCAGATAAGAGAGAGTTTTTGTCACTAGAAGAACTTGAACGATATCTAAATAATTCCTATTATGTTTATAATATACCTAATTTAACATACGGACCACATCGTCTCGTAGGAAATCTTAATTCTAGTTGGGATATAAGTGCTATATGGATTGATAGTCAAAGAGATATATTTCATTCGACATTTTAAACAGAAGCAGGAGCTCTTCATGGATATGAACATTTATCATTCGAACCGATGCGTAAGCTTGCTAAACTTTGTGAATCAGATGGAGGTATTAATGACTGTCTAGATGGAAAATTTGAGGAGAATTATGATGAACCAGCAAAATTATTTGATACTTATGCTGCTCGAGCTATGTTTGGTTATTCAGAAAGATTGTTTCATATTTTAAAAGAGGGTTCATCAAATAATATTTACGATGTAAAATTACAACCATTACCATTAGGAACCGGTGCTAAACGACCTGTTTCTTTTTACTGATGCTTATGTATTTCGACGTAATCTATCTCCGAATAAGTTAGCAGCTGCGCAAGCTTTTGTCAAATTTATGGCAACACCTCGAATGCAAGCAGCTGTAGCAGGAAATGAAGCTTTTTCAGCACAAATGCCTCTACGTTATCTTCTTCCCATTTCTAAGAGTGCATCTAATGAGCCTCTTCTAGTATCTAACCGTTTTTATCAAGATTATTTTCGAAATTTATATGGGTATACCTATCCAAATACTGGTCTTTTATCAGCACGTGGTCAGCTTGCACCAGCTATTCGAAAATATATTAAAGAAGAATAAACCGTTCTTTTGTTTGTTTTTTTGTGTATATTCGATTATACTTTAATTTTTTTAATTTTTCTTTTTTGAAATAAAAATGATTACCTTGTAATCTATATAAAGTATTTGAACTCAAAGATGCAATTCGATATGAATAATTTGTATTTTATGAGGCACAATCTCTTCATTACATGCAATTATGTCAAAGAAAAGAAAATGGAGAAGAATAATTATAGTATATGGATCACAACTCTGGTGAAGATAATTATCTAGCACTTAGGATTTTTCAGCATGAGCACTCAAATTATGAGTGCAAATAGTCAACAAGTTTCATGCAAACGAAGATATGAATACTAAACATAATATTCAAGCTCGCTTCTTTTTGCAGATTCCTTGACACATCATTTATGTGCTAATATCTATAGATATAGATGGAATCAATTTTTATAAAATAAATTATATAACAAAATGCAAAAAACAGAGAAAAGTTACTTCAGTGACTTGTCTGATTGATTCTCTATTATTTTCTAATGAGTCATTTAGACGGCTATGATAAATATTGGTTCCGAGGAAGAAAGAAACGATTTTTTTATGCTCACGAGGGAACCTCCCGAGGTGTCCAACGCCGATTCTCTTCATTCGTACGTCGTTTGATAGAGGGTATCGAGATAGCAAAAAGCCTAAAAGGATTTGGGCTGACAGCTCTTCCTTNCATAAAAGAATCGTGGAAAGTTTCTTGACGCTAGCTATTACAGGGACTGAGTGCATCGCGAACAAACAAACACACAAACACACAAACACACAAACAGACATTCTTCTTTATATATATAGATTGAAAAAAAATTAAATAAATTTTCTTTTCAAAATTGTATATTCCTTTTGAATTAAACTTGGTATACGTATTAGAACTAGCAGCCGTGACCGGGGTGTGGGTGTGTAAGTGTGAATTAGTATCCATTCATACAAACAGGTACCCACACCCACACCCACACCCACACCCAGATTCGCGTTCCTATACATACAAAATTTTATATAACTTATACATAGTAGTTTGAACCAATAGAATAATGATCTAGTTTTTACTCTCGTTTATCCAGCTATTGTTTAATGTGTATGAAGGTATTGTCTGTAAATAAAATAAAACAAGTACAATAAAAATTCTGTGCAAAAAATGTATTAGATTTGAACTGAACAAAATTTATTTCCTAAAAATAATAGCGTACAGTATTTCACGAGTATTGTGCTTTGATATGATCAGTTAATATAAATAAACAAGTGGAGTTTTTCTTTCTGTCATCGAATTCAGTTCATGTCTATGTTCTCCTTGTTATTACTATATACTACAGAGATTGATATGCAATGGTTCAGTCTGTACCATTATAATTCTATATCCCTTCCATGAAAAACTTAATATTCATTTGTACATTTAAGTTTGGTTCACATATTTATTGTCTACATGCATACGCCATACCATACTATGTAGTTATATCATCCGGAAGGAACTTTTGTTATGATGTCTTGTATTTATTCATAATGATTATAGTGGATAGAAACTCGTGATCCCAACAAATGTATATTACAACAAAAGAAAATTATGGAGATGAAACGTCAAGCTGCAGTGTGGCGTGCACTATAGATTGAGTTTAAATCTCGTCGATATCTAACAGAACTGTAGGCAGCAATTTAATTCGATCTGGATAGCTCTACATTTGAATTAAGATCAAATACATTAATATTTATGTGATATTGATCATAGACATAAAGGTGTAACACTACTCAAATGAAGAAAGACGGACATTTCCGGTCGGGAAACTCAGGAACGAAGCAGAAATCTAGTGGCCGGCTCTGCCTGGTTAGAACTCGAAATAGAAAACTGGGGCCACTATTTTCCTGAGTTTCCTGGTCGGAACCATTGACCCAAGTAAATATCAGCTCGAAGGTTTTTGACTATGTACATAATGTTATGAACAGGTATATTACAGAGAATATTTCACTTGATGGTATAATACACAAAACTATCCAGGTCCGAGAAAACTGGCGTCGTTACATTGCTGTTTTCCATCAGTTGGTAAAACGGTAAAAGTGGTAGGAGAAACGATAACTGTTTGCCAACGAAAACATGGCTCTTGCAATGCACTAACGTATTACGGCAAAATACGATGAAAATGCATTAATTAATGCGCCGTTTCCGACGGTTGGAATACTCGGCCTGGATGAAAAATGCAGAACAAAAAAGTGTCAGATAGGCAGGGTCATCACATAATAAGATTTGATCTAAATAATTACATATCATTACTTTCCATCAATTACATCTGTGTATATTATTATATCATTTATTTTCATTTAGCATAAATTCCACGTTGACAGTGCATTTAGTATCGTTGCTTTTCTTTTTCAATGTTGTTGTCCAAATATGTTTGCTATATGTTATATTGATGCATATTATTACATACCTCGATTTATTATGTGTGTTATCATGTAATAACAGCTGATAGCTCCTTATACAGAATAAGTTCTACAATCTGATATCGATATAATTGCTGTTTTGCCTAGCTTCTATTTATTTCTGTTGAGCCGCTTCTCTTTATATTTTTCTTGTTTTTCTCCTCATTGTCATGATACGCCTATGTTGTGTTAGTTTTGAAAACAAACGAAAAAGTTCTATTCTTCTTTAATCGTGCCTGTCGAAAGAAAAAATTGCAATTTATGAAAAGATCGAAAACTTTTATGAAGGTCGTATAAGATCTTACTATAAAACTTAATATTTATCTGACTATAATATGTTACTTTACATCTTATATGATGAATACTATAAGATTATTATTTTAGATCTCACTAATACAAAAATTTTGGATGACGATATTTTATATACATTTAAATAAACATTTAAACGTTTAAATATGTTCTGATTTGGACGCTACTTTTTAATGTTGATAATACACCGTCTATTTAGTGGTGCTGATATACTAAAAAAATCACTTTATAGATAATTTAATTTAATAGAAGTAGATTTTCTTTTGTTTGAGTTGTTTATGTGTTTTATTTTGGATCATTTTCACGATTGAACTCAATAAAAAAAGTTTTATTTAATCTTGTTTTTAAGCGTCTATTTGCTTTTTAATTTACTTTTGATAATTTCTATTCATAAATATGAAAGAATAGAAGCCAAAAATAAAAGAAAATAAGGTATGTAACATTATGAGACACTCTGCATGTTCATACATGAGCTGTGTAAGATCTTACATTAAGATCATAGAAAAATCGTGCTAGATCATATGCAATCATGAAAGATTATACAGCAAGTTCCTATTGGGCATGTTTATGGTATCTTCTTTTCTTAGAGAGAATGTAAAATCGCATGAATTTGCATCCGATTTGAGTGTTTACAAATCCAACAGACAGAATCGTGGTGAATTTAATGAATTCAATCTAAATGTGATAATGTAGTACAGTGAGGAAAGAGACTTACGAAGAACTTTTCGGAAAGAATCTTGGTATAATAGAGGTGTTTGATTCGGGTTTACTTAAAACCCATTGAAATTGAACACAATTCTAGAAGTATACTTTAGACATCTGATTAACTTCGGAATATAATTCTTCCAGTATATGTTCATTTTAATGCTTTCTTTGTTTCTACATCTTTTTCTCTTGATATCTTCATACAAAATTTCGTTTTTTAGGTCATGTGAAAAAACTTCTCTAAAATGTGAATTAATAGGTCTTCCTTCTTATTAGGGTTAGAAATACAAAAACAAATTTAGGATAATATTCAATTAGTTAGGAGAAATATGAAACTCGACATATGGCATTTCTAGATTTTAAATAGGATAGAAAAAGCACTCTTTTCTACTGTAAGGGCTAAAAGCTTTAGATTTAGTCTGTATTTAGATAGATTTTGTGATTCATTATAAAAATATTTACCATTAGAAACAAATAAATACATCTAAGTTTTATCATGAGTTTTTTCCGGAATACAAGTTTTTTTTATTTATACAAAGTAATGAATTGTATGAATTATACATCGAGTTACAAATAATTGCATGCATCCTCGTATAGACACAACCAATTGGATTTCTATCACAATATAGATGTTTTTCTTTGCCGATTGTTGTAATCGAGTACGAAGGGTTGTTGTTGACAACAGCTTGACGTAAGAATAGATAAACAAATGACTCGTCTGACTATATTTATTATACTTATTGATTGGCATAGACTTAAATCAAGTGTTTTGTCTATTCAAGCAACAAATTCAGTTGTTTCTCGCTTGTTAGAGATCGTATTCTTCGTTTATGGTTCAATCGAATAATTTGACAAACGATGTTTATTGATAGAATTAACTTTATTCGACAAAATTACAATAACATCGTCAAAAATGATCGTCTCTTACTAACAGTACTATTTATCACATTCAATATTACCATTTTATATACATGATAGTTTGAGACGATACACTATGTATGTTGTCTTGAAGTAAAACTCTCTAGTAGAAATATCTAAAGCAAAACAAAATCATTTATATGATAATCAATACTGTCATAGAATTTAATCATTTTCTTCAGCATCAAATATTAATTGTTTCATTTATGAAGACAAATTTTATCAACAGATCTAAATTACGAGATCATTATTTATAGTAATATTATTTAAGATCTATATGTTGACATAGAATACAACTTTAATTGAACATAAATATTTAAATATTCAAAATTGATAAGATTTCTATACTAAATAATCGATCATTCAGCATGACAGTAGATTGTCGGTCGGCAAACAACTATCAGTGTACCACGGTCAGAAGATAAGCTACCCTCAGTACAGCGCATATTATACCGAACAGTTTTTTGTCTGATTTGAGTTACATGTCTCAAATAGATAAAATTTTAGTTCGAATTTATTATTTCTCAATGTTCTTGATGAAAATAATCTTGAACAAAAGAAATTCAATATCTGAAAATAAGCTTCGGATTATTATATCGCATATATATGAAAATTATTCGACACAATAGGGAAAATACACTTTGCTATGTCTAACTAGCAACATAGATCTCCTAATCTAATGTGTTGAAAGAAACGATTTTATCACTAGTGAAGATTATTTTCAACGACGCGTCAAATCATCTTAATTGAAAAAGAAAATATGCTTTGTCTCGTCTAATCTTATGGTGGAAAGTACCCTATAATGATATGATAGATTAAGACAGATCAGCGAATTATTAGGTAGGAAACTATGAATAATATTAATCTGTATAGTCTAACGAACATATGTAAAGATTATGACCTGATTGCAAAAACAAAATACTGTTTGCATATTTTAATTTTCTTGTAGCTGATTATACTGAAAAAATGGAGACATAAAAAGCAAATAGATACATGAATAATTATGGGCAATAAAAACCGGAGTACAACGGGTAACAGATTATATGGAATTTTTTTTATTTTCTATTGAAAAAAAGGTATACTACATATGAATTATACTCGAATCTCTTTGGTGTATGGGAATAATGGGAGTTGTTTTTTGATATATAATCTGTGTGCATCATACCTTTACTGCGATACGTGCTGTTTTATCTCTTCCATTTTCTGACTTTCACGGAAAATGGGAAGCATAATTTCATATATACTCTGGCTAATAAAAATCATCTCTATTACTTTTTTTCTTTTTGGATGCTATTAGCATAGAATTCTTGCATATTTTGCCAAGCAAAAGTATTTATAAACTTTTTTTCTCAAAAAAATAAAATAAAATAAAATAAATTAATGTTCTAAAGTAATCGAATGAGAACGATTGATAGTTAAAGAGTTCATAGTTGGTAAATGATTTAAACTTTGACTATGAATTTTTCTTATATTAATTGATGGTGTTGTTGGACATGTTCGAAAACCGGATTGAGGTTTATCATCTTCAGAAAATAAATTTTCAGCATCCATATCAGAAAATATTGATAATGGAAATTCTTCATTGATATTTTCATCATTCACTTGAGTATTATTTAATCGTGCAAAACGCTCTCGTAAAATACGCATTATTTCTTCAGGATTAAAATCTTCACCAGCTAAATCAAATTGAAATAATGGATGTTGTTGTTGTTGTTCATTATCTTGATTAAATAATATATGTTGACTAGTTAAAAATCCATTTACAGCTTGTGAAGAACGACGAGAACGTATATGTTTAACAAGTTTATAAATTCCAACCGGAGGTAAAACAACAACGGCTGCAGTTACAGCACCAACTGCAAGTAATGGTGAAGCAACAACAACACCAGTAGCAATCATACCACGTATTGTACGACGAAGCCATGGTTTTTCTGGATGAAGATTATATGGACATCCAAACATACTATTTAGAAATTAAATTCCTATAGTTTAATTGAAAAAAAATGAAAAAAGATCAACTAACTAACCTGAATTTATTATTATGTTGACCAATAACTGGAATTTTAACATAACGTCGACCACATAAATAACAAAATTCACATGAACATGATGAACAAGTCATATGAGGACAACCTAGTTTTAAATTTAATGTCAATAAAAAACAAAAAATATTTAATTTTACCTCCAGCACGTTGTATAAATGAAGAACACTTCGGACATTTTCTTGCATTCCATTGATCTTCACTTTTTTGATTAATCCATTTTAATAAAAGTTTATCACCTTTTATAAATTGTTTACATGTTAAATTTTCATGCCATGGTGCTGAACAACGAAAACACCAAACAAGTAAACATTCGGAACATTGAACTTGTTTTGGAATTTTTTTATTCTTTTTTAATTGAACAGATGTTATTGTATCAAGTGAATAAAGATGAGAACAACGTGGACCTATATATGTTATACAATGATAACAGAATAAATTAGTTGAATAATAATTAAAAGAAAAAACAATATTTACTTACATGTTTTAGCACGAGGATTTTGATTTGCATTTGTATATAATTTAAGATAACGTTCATGTAATGGTGAATCATTACGAATAAAATTCACTATTGATTCTCGAGTTAAATATTTGTTACATCCATTTGAAGGACATGAAATTTTAATTCGACCATCATTTAATGCAGCTGAAATATGAGCACGCCAACATGAATTACAACTATGAAATGTACAACATGAAGTTGATTGTAATGATGCTGGTTCGAGACAAATAGGACAATACATAGGAACATAATTTGATATAGTTGAAGATAATGAAGAAAACAGAGATTCAGCAACGATTGCTTCATCTTCATCATCGAAGGAATCATCATCACTAGCATTAAGAGAAGCACATTTGTCGGCATCTATGAATGATTCTTTTCGTTTAGCGTCATCATTGAATACATGACCATCATCAGTAGAAGTCGTAGTGATTGTTCCGGTTGCATTAGTTATAGATTGATGACGTCGAATACAACAGACAACAGAACTTATTTCAGTACAAGTCATTGCAAGTGAACCTGTCGATGATGTTGAAGTAGTTGTCATTGTAGTTGATGGAGTTACAGCAAGAACATTTAGTTTATTGGATAGAGAACGACGAATAAGAGAATTTACATGACGTGTAGTTTCTAAAGGAGTTGATTCTTTAATTAGATGTAAAATGGACGGATTATCAGTTGAATTAGATAGACATTGTTCGGCCATGTAAAAAAAAATTATATTGATAAAATAAATCTTAAACAAAATTGAATATGAATATTTGAATTAACATCAAAACAGATAATCAATAATAATTTTTAACAATGACTCACTTTCTCTTTTACGATATATATACATACACTTTCATATTATAAAAAAAAATTAATAATGGACATATATGTGTAAGACTTTTCTTAAAGATTTCTTTCAGTATAAGTTTTCATACTTGTATTCACGTTCTCTTTCTAGCTCGTTCTTTTTTTCTCGACATACACCCACACCGTGTGTGTATGTTGACAACATCGAACACAATTTATAGTTAGCTATGGCTTGTTCTGACTGGCAAAATGAGAAAAATACTCGTCGTTTTTTTTTCTTCTCTTATTTCTCTTTAAATAAATTCTCGTCTCAACAAGAAATGTGTCTTGATGGGGTGTGCGTAGGCTGTTCTGTTGTTAGAATAGAGAATAGGAAAAAACCTTTCTCTCTCTATAAATGCCACATCATACAAGCAATAATAATAGAGAAAAAAAAACCTATATGATAGTCATTATCCCAACAGCGTTATGAAGAAAAACTATCCTATAATGTGTTAGTCATGATGAGTCAAAAGCATGTTGTCGTAGCATATGATGACGCATTGCATAAGCGATTTTTTTTTTAATTTTCGTTGTTGATGAATAAGATATATTCACATTGCTTTATCGGATACTTACTCAGTCGTACTGTTAATTTTATATGAGAACAACATTGAAGAAATAAAAGATTTTTTTGATGACTTTTAGTCGAAACATTTGGTTTTGATTTAGTTATTCGGAAATTAAAAAAAACTTCTCGCAGGATATAAATATCAGAGAAGATAAAGTCGCTTTTGTAGTAAACGAGAAGAGTTTAACATGTCTTTCCGTTTATGAAATATTTACTTCTAAATAAAAAGCAGAAATATCCTGTAGGATATTAACGATTGTATTTTTTGATAGTTTTTAATAGATAATATATACTCGTCACGGTTTGTTACTCTTACGAAGTGAGAATGAAATATCCTATCATAAGTTATGACATTAAAATAATGACTCATATTATTGTTGTTTTTTTTCTTCTTACTACTGTTTTGAAAGCAAACTTGACGAAGCAATCCACCGCATAAAGGTTCGCTTTACATGAATAACGAAGAATAAAAAGCTGTAAGAATGATTCATTGATGTAATAATTTGACTTTTACGAATCAAATATTTTTCTCAATTATCTATGTTAACAACCGTACAAAAAACCGTGCTTTTTTAATTTCAGGGTATGAATAAGCCGTCATACTTATGAAGGAATTTTCAGAACTATCCAATCGGTTTTATGTCATGGCTAAGTGTATCATATAAGCTTTATATCTTTTAATTGTTCCTATTCTGAAATAAGATCATTAAAACCTGCTGATGTACATAAGCAATAGAAAGAAAAAAATGTTGTTATTATAGACCATATTTTAGAATGGAAGGTCGGGCATTTTAAATAAGACTGTTCATATTCGAGTCAAATGAATGTTCCGACTGCCAAACTAACAATTTGGAAAAAATGAGCTGTCGATAGAGTGCACAGACTGGTATATTCAAATTTCATGATACTTACAATCTATTTCATGTGATGATACTTCATAATTTCTGCAGCAGAGATTTTTCTTTTTTTATCAAAATTGAATGCACACTAAAATAAAGATGAGTCGCACTTATGGGTCGTAGGTTCAAATGCGAAAATGTGTCGTATACGAATTTGTCGCGTTCTGTCTGCTGACTATTCATTCGTCGTTTTATTTTGCACACACAGCTCCATATAGATAATTCACCTGAACCTGAAAAATTTCTATATTATCGTATTTATTTTATTTTTTTTCTAGATTATGTTCTCGATTGTTTGTTAGTCGAGAAAATGACCATCTTGATCGATGATCAAAAAGGGACTAAAGCTCGACGAGTTACATAAGAGAAAAAACAATATCACACATATTCAAAAAGAGTTATAAGAGAAAGTCCAAGATACCATTATTGTTAAATATAAGAGAACAGTAGACACAAAATTCTGACTATTATTAATCGGTTTTGAATTTTTATGCAACTCGCTGAACCCTATTTAATCATGACGAAAAAAGTAGGGATTGTAGATGTTAGTCCTGTCCTCGCTGCCACTCGCATGCCCGATTTTCTAAATATGTGACACCTCTTGAAAATACTCATCTGTACCTACGTTGCAGAGGGAAATGTTTTGGTTTTTAGGAACGTTTGGGGGAAATCTTTAGAAGAAAGAAATCGTCATGGAGGAGAGGAGAAAATGTTTCGAAATCAATGGAGATTCTACATTTTTGGTTTATATGAAAGTTGTTTAGTAATAAAGAAAACTATTCACATCTCTGGAAAAGCTATCCGAATTAAAAACATTCGTTTGATATGTTTCAATAAATGACATTTTGTAACAAATAATTATGAAAATGAATATTCTATTTGTCATTTAATAAATCGTATTGCCAAATCATTCTTAGGAATTAAGTATATCATATTACGCTATAAATATGTGCAATAAAAATTTTAAAATAAGTTTCATTCAACGAAGAACGTTTCGAAGTTTCATAATTAACTGTCATTAAACGTCCTCTATCAATTTATTTCTTCTCCACGAACAAGGTCAACTGCATTTTTTTACAATGGCAATTTTGCGAACATGTATATAAAGGCGTCTGCAGTTTATCTTAAGTGGCCAACAAAAAAAAAATAGCTAAGCTTAGACAGAACGATTCAATTTAAGGAAAATTTTGAAACTTAATAAAAAGGAATATTCATGCAGATAACAATATCGTTTTTGTCAATATTTAGAATACTTAAGTGAAATTTGAATTTCTACATCATCAAGTATCTCATTCATCCTGACTTCACAATGAAAAACGAAAGGATTGTTTAGTTTAATGCACGGTTTACAAAACTTTTTCCATTCTATTTCCTTCTTTATGAATCTGTTTATCGAAAATAATTCGAACATACGATGAGGAAATGTCTAGACTAACTGATAAAACACAGTATTAACTAGTGAATCGTGATTCATAATGATGCTTTTCTAGAAAAAAGAGAAAATAGAATAGCATAGCACCAGCCTTAGTTATTATCTTCATAAAACATAATCATCATCTTACGAAGTAGACGTCTTGCTTCTTATGAAGAAATAAAAATTTGAATAAATGTAAGCAGAATGTTGGAGAATTGTTTCAGCAACCAAAAGATATTTATAACAATACGTTCAAGTCTTTTTCTAGCCATCAAGACGCCTACAATAGTATAATAAACTAGCTGACCCTTTAAAACTGAAAAAAAACTTGATTGTTTCACAGCCCATGGAAATATCATTTCATTGAAGTTATTTGGATTCCAAATATTGTATATTCATATATTACTGAAAGAATATCAAAAATTAAGTTTTTCAAATTTATCTTCCGTGGAAAAATAAAAACACAATCATTAAGAACCTTCCACGAAAAGAAAAGAAAAGATGTTCAAATATATATGATTTCCTGGCAAGTGTATGTGCCTTTACCATCCACGTGAAAAAAATACGAGAAAAGAATTCGCGGAACTTTGTTTGAATATTGTTTATTCATACTGAACATAATGTTTTTATGATAAAAATAGATGTCTTGCTTACAAGCAGTAGTGACTCGAATCAATCAACATTGGGTAGGTGTTGCAGCTTTGCAGAAAGAAAAAGTATCTTGTACAAAAATGCAAAAAAGAAATTTCAGCTCTGCTGGAAAAAATAAAAAAAGAGTGTGGGTGTCAGCTGTGGTTGTTAGTCTTCTCGCGATCCATATCCACTACGCACTCTCCTGACCTGCAATCATTCATCCTGGGAACAAAACCATCAATATATGCAGAACGATATGATTTTATTGGTGCTAATAATGAACCACAACCAATTGCTTGAATGATACTGATCCCAGCTGATTATAATAGGCCAGGTATCAAGGAACTTAAACAAGAAGTTTTATATGAATTTACTACTGATACATTACCGCCAGCAATCAATCAATTGTGTATTGACAATATGTACTTAATTTGTGATAAGAGTCGAGTTCATAATCGACCAGGTATGAAGCAAGCATTATATACGGGTCGTTGTCAAGTTGTTAAAAACATTATTTATATACCAACAGCGTCTGTAAAGTATTTATCACCATTGGCCAATCCACATTGACATTTGTATAAACAAGCAATTCGAAATCAACATCAACTAGAAGTAATAGATCTTCCATTACAGCTGTCACAATCAAGATATTGATGTTTATTGTGGAAAAACAGTGTAACCTTTTTTCCTAATATACTTTTCGATTTAATCTTTATTTGTTGTTCATAATATATATGTCATTATCATTAGATGCAGCACATTTCGTATTTTCTCGCTATATATAATATGTCTGAAAGCAAACGAAGTATGTCTATAGAAACAAAAACATACCAAGGGAAAAAACTCTTATGACTTTCATTGTACTTTATCATTCAATCTTATTTTCTTGATAAATGAAATTATATAATTTATGAATTTTTATTAAAATCAGTTTTTTTTTTCTTTCAATAGTATTATCAACAAAAAGAAAAAAAAACAATTAAATATTTTAAGATCTAATCTTCCTCATTGAATTATATACCTTCTGACTACATCAACAAATAGAAAACAAAATATTTCATTTAATAATCTCAATTGAAAGAACTAAAAGAAAACAAAACACAACAATTTTAACAATCAACTAATTTAAATTAAAAAAAAAAAAACAAGTTATTCTACAAAACAGATAAGAACAAACAAGAAAAAAAAGTCGTACATTTTCTTTTAAACAACATATAAATATTGAGCATATATAAATCCTTTAATACAAAAAGACTTTTAAATATAAACAGCTGGATTAATGTAACATTCTAACTAAGGTATTAGTGACTATTAAGAAGTATGGCATTACTACTGTATTAGGATCAATGTTTTTGAAATTGCGTACGGAGGATTACTTTGTGTTTTTTTTACATCATGATCATCCAAACTTGAAATTGATTTAAATATTTTTCTTTTTTCTATAAAATGATTTGTTACTATTGCAATTAATGCTACTCCTTTGCTACTGCCATCATTGGGTAAGTAAGCTTAATTTGAACTAAATGACAAAACGAGAAAAACAAACAGATTATATATACAAAAGTCAGTATGAATTAGTTCATTAGAGGTCAAGCAAGAATAGAGCATAAATCTTGATTCTAATTAAAGCAACTTATTGGTTCGTCGGTGTGATTTTTTTTTTCTTTGTCTTACACATGTGATCGTCGACGTTGTTTTTGTTTTTGATTGTCAGTTGATTCCTTATTGCTCTGAGTTGATAAAACTTCTGCTGCCACGGTCAGTGCAGCACCGACACCTGAACCATCATTGGATAATTGAAGTTCAAACTGAAATATATTATATACATTTATATTTGACCGATTAACCTTGTTTTATTACAATCATTAATGCATGCTCTTTTTTGATACCTTTTCTTTTTACAATTAAACTTCATACAGACCTTTATATTTTTATTGACTAAAATTTTCATACATTTTTCCATATTTCTTTTAAATCTTGGATGATAACGATAAAGAGAACCATCAACACCAACAGTTATATTTGGTTTATTAATACGATTGATAATTACAGCGAGACCTATATAGACATTCATTAGTTAGATATTTAGACATGAGTCAATTATTGATATCAAATATATATAAAGATTTAATAGTTAAACAAAAAAAAAATTATGAAAAAACATCCTTTATTTCAATATCTTTTCACTTCATACACATTTAAGAATGTGGAATGTTGGGGTAAATCAGAGGGTGATTTTAAAAATAGTACTGCTAACGCCGTCTCGGTACTACAAGCAGCACCGTCATGGATATCTCTGGTGTAAATACTGACAGTCACATTCGTCGAGTCATTAAGACGCCAACTCTATCACAATTTGCTTCTTTTTTTGTGACAATATGTTCTCATGCTTCAGTAAACACTGGTACCAGTGTGTCAGTAAACTTAAACTGCACATCTATATATATACTCTACAGCAAGCACAATACTGCATGAAAATGATATATGCTTCTTATGATCATCATAAGAGTAACATAGAAAAACGTAAGAACTAATTATTTATTTGATAAAATTGAAGTAGCTACGTACTTATAACAAAACTCGAAGTGGGATAGATGAAACTAGAGATGTACGAGACCAAATGTAAGTCCTGATTCGTGAGAAAAAGTCGTCTTGACCGAAAATGAAAGATTATAGTTAAATATCTTATGATTTTCAGCGAATTATTTTATGTATCATCAAATAAAACATAATTCAAGAGAGATAACCGAAAAAAAAGTGCTATTCACCGACTAAATAAATCAAAAGACGAATATTGAAGAATTTTTTTAGATGGGAGATAAATAAAATTCAAGAATAGTTTGATTTAGACCGGAATCACTAGAAAATTAGCTATCAGATTTAAATCTGAATTGGAACTAGATTAGACTTACTATCAAGATAACTAGAGTCGATAGAAAGAAAAGTTTCTGGGATCGAGACCAAAAAACTTGGTTCAGCATATCTTTAGATTCAACGATAATAAGAATAAGATCTATGAGAAGATCTTTCGAACTTGAAAGTCGCTTTTGAGTCGAAGCCTTGTCAACAAGATGTAATCAGCTATGTTGATTTCGAATATAAACATAAAATGGATCGCTAGAACTATTTTAAGGTCCAAGTTTTTCTCAATTGATGATTATCAGTTAAGTCGCGAAAGAGTGGTTGAAAAAAAAAGATAAACAAAGAGATCGTCAATATATTGTACCATTATTTCATGTTGTTTTTTTTACTAGATTCCACAGTACAAACAGCTGTCAAGTCTGTGAAAATGCTTTATTGTTTCATTTGCTTAATACTAGAGATTTACATTTTGTTCTTGTTGAAAAGTTAACGAAAACACATGTAAAGGTAAAATAACCTTGTTTCTTTGCTCTTTAATAATTTATTTTTCTTATTCTAAATGTTTTGTTTATACACGTACACAGAAAATCATAAAAGAACCGTTGCTTTCTTTTGAACATGGTTCTTTATTGTTAAGTAACAGGTAAGTTTTATTTACCATAATAAAGCAATTCTTAGGGTATCTGTTTTCTTTGTCTCTCTCTCTTTTTAATCTTCAGTTTCCAATGAATTCTTCAAACATTGTTTATTGCCTTGCTGGTTTGTTGAATATCAATTTAAAAATCAATCCCATTAATATATCAGACTGTGAACGTGATGTTGTTCAGCGTCTCTTTCATACTATTACTTTCCATATCGTAAGCTTGTTCGGACTACTGTCGTTTGATTTCGGATCTACCATCAATATAGTGCACATCACACCAAACGATCTATTGATGCATTTTGTCCGATTTCTTCACCCATAGTATATTTTATTTTTTGTTTTGTTAATTTTTAAGTGTGTAAGTAATGTTGAATAAATAAAAAATACCAAAATTGAATCTCCTCAACTCTAATTTTTATACTGCACTTTCTATTAGGTCAGAAATTGGGATTCTTTAGTTTTTTGGCACGACCATTAGCAACAGATCTATCTCTAAAAATAGACTTGTTCAAAGTCATATTTTTTCTCATGTATGTATCTCGAGACGAATACATTCTACTGAACATAGCTATAGCAAAGCACCATCGGAGTATGACTTTCCTTAAAAAAGTAACATTACGCTCAAAGTGAGTTCAAAAATTCGCAATGTATCTTTAGATAACTTAAAAAGCAACGGTTCTTTTTTTTATTAACATCTCGATTTTCTTATACAAGATGGAAGCAGCCGAGAATTCGTTTTGAAGTGTTTGAGCTATAGCTTTTAATATATGTTGAAGTCTCATGAAGTTTTTCAAAGTTTGGAAGTGCGCTATTTCCTCTCGTCTCTACAATTGAGGCACATGCAAAAAACATTTTTAAGTTTTCTAAAAACACCGATCCCTAGAATACCTAGCAGCCCATTTCATGTTCATATTCGAAATGAGCATAGTCGTTACCTGTAACTCACTTGGTCTTGGTTCACTAGCGATCTTCACACTGGAAAGGTTCTTTCGCTAGTTTCTAGTAACACTCCGAGTGGCTAGAATTTTGTCAATAAGCCTTTCACCAATGGCAACAGTAGGTTTGAACTTTCGCAAACTGTGACGAAGCAATATTAATATACGATATATGTGAGGACTAAAGCTAATATATTAAAATATATATATTATAGCGTGTACACTCGTCAATGTAGTCGATAAAAATTTTTCAAATCTATATCTAATTCAAAGTCTTATTGGCAAAAATCTGAAATTTCGTAACACCTTTCAAATTAAGTTTATGTTAAAATAAAACATGAAAAATATCTATACCTGCTCCGGCTAATCGAGCTGCTCGTCTTGAAACATTTTTGCAAATATGTTGTACAATTGCACAATCATCAAATGTTGGATTTCTTATACCAATATCTTGAAGAACACGTCTCGTATTTGAAAATGCAATACCTTCATCTGTTTCAACAGTACTAACAAATTTTGTATAAAATCCACCACGTGTAAATAATGGTGTTTTATAATCTCCATAACGATCACGTTGACCAAGAAATAGTAAATCTTGTTGCATTAAATCAAGTATTATTAAACGAACTATTTCACCCATATACATTCCACTGATCATTTTTTCAAAACTAAAACAAAAATATTTTTTTGTCTTTTTTTTTTTTTTATTTAATTTCTTAAAAGAAATAAAAATATTTTTATATATTTATACATTTGCTTGCCAGGATTTACTGATGATAGATCAACTTCTTCATCATATTTTGTTCGTAGATGATTTAAACGATTATTATTACCAAATGCACCCCATTCCATATTAACAATAACTTGTTTTGGTTCATTATAATCACCATTCCATGTACCAATACGATCTAAACTTTCAATGTAACATGCATTTGTACCTGTACCTAATATAAGACCAATAGCTGTATTGGGATTTTTATATGCACATGCCATTAATGTACCAACAGTATCATTAACCAGTGCTACACATTCTACATTAATATTCTAGAAGAGATAAAATAAAGAATTTTTTTTTTTTTTTTAAATCAAATACTTTTTCATCAATTGCTCTTTGAAGCATTTTAACAACGTCTTCATTAACAACACCTGAACATGTAAAACCTTTTGTCCATGATGTTAATCGTGCTGATGCAAGATCTTCTTGTTGACATGGAAATGAAAATGTAAAACCTAATGGATAATGAACACCTGGTTTAATTAGATTTTCTTTTTTCATAAAATCAACAAGACAATCAGCAAGATGACGAAATAACTAAAATAATTACAAAAAAAAAGAAACAATATTCTATTAGTTTTCTTTTCTTTGAAAAAATTAATTTTAATTTACATTAACTCCTTCACCAAGCATAATTGATTGTGGTATAACGAATATTTTTGATGTTAATTCAACTTCGGATTGTGGTAATAAATTAACAAGTAAAACACGAAAATTCGTACCACCTAAATCTAATGCAAGCACTTGACCAGTTTCGGATCCATTAGCTATATTTCGAACATAGGTTGGAAACATTTTAACATCAGCCATTTTATGTGTAGCTGGAGAAAGGCCAGAATCCATTTCTTGTTCAAGAAATTGCATCATTTGTCGTAGTTTATCATCATCCAGACGTAAAGATTCAAGTACCTTTTCAATCTGTTAGTACAAAAACAAAAGAGTCTTTTCAAAGTTATGCAATAGAAAGTTGAAATCATTTCAGAAATTTCTTTGTTGTCGTTCTCTTGAAGCTAACAAATGAATATACGATCGAGTTACATTAGTCTATGGCATGAAAGTCTTAAAAAAATATTCACTCAAAGACAACTGGTTAGAGCCAGAAGCTGCTTGCTAGGAATCAAACATTTTCATTCTTTTGGAACATATGTTAAGAGTTTTTGTTCGGAAAAAAGATTGAATAACAACCAGTAAATTTTGTGAAAAACAACTATGTCTGTACATAGCAAAATAGCCATTTTGATGTAGTTTTTAGCTTGCGTCTTTAAACAGTTTCAGTTCAACATTATTCTAGAGCACTGAATTCTGTACAAAATAAGATATTAGACTAAACAAAATCTCATCTATGAATTTCGACTAAAGTGCTAGTTTCTATGGAAATTGGCATTGGTAAATAAGATCATTATTTCAAAAATTTCTTTTAAAAATACAAAAGTTTTAAAACCTGTTACGCAGACAGATTTGCTTGACTAAGTTTAGTTACCGTCACTGGAATCTGGACTACAAGGAAAAAGTTATTCAAACTAAAACTGAAGATTATAGTTAAATATTCTATAGTTTTAAGAGAATGATCTTATAAAGCATATCAATCAGAAGATGACTCAAAAACTACTAGTCATCGACTAAATAAAAAACAAACGTTGAAAGAATTGTTTTAGAGATGATATAAATAAATTCTCTTTAAGTGAATATATTGTGTCAAGACTTTCACATCATAGGTTGATAAGGTATGTTGAAAATCTTCATGAGCAACATTTTATCCAGATTTTCTCTACTGGAGAAACGATTCAAAACTTCGAAAAGGCAAACATTTGTTTTTAGCAGCACAAGCCTGTAGTATGTGCTAAAATAACCACAAACTTCAGAGGAACACTGGTCTTTCGTCCCACACGTAGAATATGCTACTGATCAGGAGTTATAATTTTTAATGTTCCAAATCGAATCTCTTTATACGTTGTCAGTTGCATAGTGAGTAACGATCGTTGAACTATAATATATACACCACTGGGGAAAAGCCTTTCCCCCATCGAATCTCAACTGTCATAGGAGCTAGATGTCTGAAAATTCGTGTGCACATACTCCACCAGGAATATAGATCAATGGCATCGGACGCATTCCAATTACTTGAATAAAAACGGAGTTATGGTGGACGATATCTATTTTTACTTTGAATTTCATGACTCTGGAAAGGAAGGATGTTATGGATCGGCAGACCCATCATTATGTAGCGCTATCATTCCGCTACCTGTCATACAAGCTTCGTGGAATTTTGTTGATTCATGCAAGAACCATAGTAATTTTACTGTAACCGTCTGTATTCAAATAAGCATCTATCGCCTTTTGAAGATCCATAACACAATGATAGTTCAATGAATTGATCTGAAACTTTCAGAATCAAAAGTTGTACAAGAGAGAAATGGCACATTGATGGTCATCGTGCTGATGTCCAGAACCCGGAGACATCAATATTCGAGCAAATAAACTGATCTTTTGAGTGCAGAAAGACCATAGACTGAGTTTTAGTTTCATGTAAAAATATTCACAATTAGTTATGTATTTGATTAGAAACAGGACAAATTTTAGTAGGCAGCCTTTTTAGGCTATGAAACTAAGAGCAATAAATAAATACCGTCCATCATAACTCCGTTTCTATTCAAGTAATTGGAGTGCGGGAAATTCCACTGTTCTACATTCCTTGTGTAGGATGTGCACACAAATTTTCAGATCTTTAGTTCCTATGACGATTGAGATCTGAGGGAGAAAAGACTTTTGCCCAGAGGTGTATATATATTATTGAATGAATAATATATATATATATATATATAACATCAATAGCTCAACTTTTTTAAAGATATGATCTGATTTGTCTAAGTTCTTTTTAATCAAGTTCGTAGCATCACTACAAGAATTTATCAGCTAATAAGAAATTTTCTTTTATTTCGAGCTGTACATAATTTGTCTTTTATTCAGGCGTTCATAAACGAAACAACACGAGTGAAAGAAGAAATATTTGTACAAGTAATTTTTAATTTTTACATTAATTTATCGGAGAAATCCTGTAAATAAACGAAAATCCTAATTAAAACAATTTTGCCTTTATATTGACATAAAAACTATATATGAATAATGGGAAAGATAAAAATTTTAATTTATTGGCTTCTAGAATCAAACAATTTATTAAAACTACATTACATGCTGTGTGGTTCAAAGCGTTCGGAAGAATCTTCGCCACATGTAGCATAGTAGACTTTTTGTTCTTTATGCTTTTTCTAATTAAAAATGAAGTTTCTGTACTCTTTTATTAATAGGTGACACCGGCTAATATATTTTCTACCATCTTAACATCATATTTCAGTTGACTTGCAGAATTTCTCCGATAAATCAATGAAAAAATAAAAAATTTCTTGTACCGAAATTTCCTATCAGTTAATAATTATATTATCGTTTTAATATGTGTTTAAACAAGAAATATAGTACTTGACATTTTATGTCGCTCTTGTGAAATGTACAAAAAGCGCCAGATTATTTTTTGGATGTCTCTATTTTGTCTCACATCATTCTGTTTATGAGTGTCTAATAAAAATAATTTATATTCAACTCGAAAGAGAAGAACATTTCCTATTGCATGATAAAAAGATTTCTTTTCAGAGTCATGTCTACAAAGAAATATAAAGGTCAACATTTTCTGCCATTGTTTTTTGCATCACGCCTTATATACTGAATAACCCACAAGTTTTGAGACAATTTTTTTCGACCAAATAAAAGGATTGTGCTCGTTTCGAATTTAAATTCAGAATTTGATACGACTCTTAGATTAATGATAATGAATGCATCTCTTTAGAGACTAAAAATAAATTGTAAATGAATTTCAGGACACAAAGAAACGTCTAATCTTGAAGTAAAATTTATTCTAAATGCATCAAAAGAAAGAACAAATATTTCTTTGTAATATTTTCATTATTCTACGATTTTCAGACATAGAAAATCGCCACGATCATTTCAGAACAATTGCAGCGAAACCTTCAATTCGTAGCGCATGTTGTGAAGCACTTTTTTTTCCTCTCTTTGCTATGACAAATATTACTAATAGAGAACGTATTCAATAAAGGACACGATTACTAACAAGGATGTCTGCTGTCAAGATATCAATCAAAAATATTTTAAAAACATGATGCAGTCAAATAAAATAAAGTGAGACTAAACAAAATTGGTATCTTTACGACATAAATACGAAGATATTGAGAAATAATCATTCAAAAAAAAAATCAATTGTAAATGTGACACGGGCACATTCTTTGTCTCTGGATCAATTAGTGCAATTATTGCTGTCCAAACTTTATTTTCAGATCAATCAAAAATTCATGCATAATTTCTCACTTATGAGTTCCAAAAAAACATTCTGAATTTCAATTTCGACAAGAGTACAAAATTTTAATTTTTATCTTCAAGGTTTTCAAATTTCTGCTGATGCTTTTAATCAATCAGAACTCGGCAAGTATGGATTTTTTCGAGTACAAGTACCAACTATTTCAGTATAAGTACGTACTCTTACTTGTCCAGCTGTATATTCAATCAAAAAATGAATAAATCGTTTTTAAACATCTCAGAAACTTTATCGTAATATCAAATACATGTTAAAACGAACTTTTGTTTAACTATAAATCATTGAGTTCAAACATAATTTATATTCAAATATATGTTTATTCTAATTTATTCAAATCATATTCGACGTTATCTTCATAAATTCTAACGAGTTTCTCAAAATAAACATATCTGAAAGAAAGAGGATGTTTTCTTCTTGGTATTAGACCGCTTTTATAATAACAGACGATCTTTCATTGAATATTACTAGACATTTTCTATTGACAATACTCAAATGCATTTCCCCAATGACATACGCCATTTGGTGCTCTTGACTTTCAGATCCATACTGAAATACAAATTGTCCTTCTGCATTATATCATTAAGATGTATTTGCATATATTTCTTTATTTTCAATACCTTTTATTCTTTACAAATGCTTCGAATTTTTACCATGACATAAACATGAATCGAATCCGACTATTTATATTTCACTGAAAAATACTAGTAAACATTTCTTTTATGATTTATTCAAAAACAAACAATTAAAATTAAATCTAATTGTATTCGTAATATGAATGATTTCTTTATATACTGAATAATGATCTTGAAAAGAAAAAAGAAAGAAATAATCATAAAGTCAATTACATCACAACATAATCAATTTGATAAAAATGAATAATATACAGATGCTGCCGCCACTATCTTTATAAAGACGCTAGTGATAATAGTTACAATAATATGCGAGGCACTTGTTTTTCTTCTAGAATAAGTGACTCTCTGCAAAAGAATCTTCATTTTTTTTTTTCTGAAAAAAAAAAATCTAGGACGATAATAAATGTCAACTGATCAATTGAAAACAAAGTTAAAGAAAAAAAAAAAAAAATCTATCACATTATGACAAACAGCAAGAATAATTATTATCTTGGGATGAAACTCAGTATTGTATAACTTCAAGAGAAACTGACATGAATTCAGTTTATTAGCATTTGTATTAGCAGCATGCTTTTTAATCTATTGAAGAAGTAAAGAATACAAATTTGTCGACACAAAAAGAAAAGAATATTCATAATAATATTGTAGCTATTTTTTTGTTATTTATTTTAATTTGCAATTAATCTTCATAAAAAACTGATTAATGATTATAAAGAACAAAAAGAAAAAAAAGAAAAACCATAATTCCAGCAAGTAAGTTATATTGATATCTATTCGTATCTTATTCTCCTCCTTCAACTCAACCGGGATTTTTATCTTTCTAAGTGGGCGCATATCATACTCATATTATAACAGACTATTACGAACTTCTTTATATCAGTCTATTACTTCTTTTTTTACATGTCTCTATTGGTTTGTTTTTTCTGTGTGTGTTCGTTTTCGAACAAGGACAACTTTCGTTTTTTATTATATCATACGTTTTATGCTCTGTTCTTATAACATAGTAGTAAAAGGTGTGCGCTACTATTATCATATCTCATACATGACACACTGATATTTAATCTTGATTAATGACTTTAAGAACAGAAAATACACTTTTAGACCAAATGAGGTTTTTTTTACCTTACCTGTTCGTTTAATTCTGGATGGCGGTTATGGATTATATGTTTGTTTTCAGGTTCGGCAGCTTTATAACCTACATAAGCTGCTGTGCCAATAATAGTACAAGCAGCAAGTGCATAAAATCCTTTTTGTAAAGTTGACACTAATATGTCATTATCAATAATTGTAGCAATAGAAGACATTTAAATTGAATTTTGAAGCATTAATAATAATAAAAAAAATCCAAAATATATCTTATAATAATCACTAGATTAAATCCAATTGTTTTTAAAAAACAAAAGACAGCTGGAGATATTGACTGTAATTTTTCTTTAATGGAAAAAAAAGCAAGGAATAAACGAAATGTATTCTTGCTTTCCCGTATGTGTGTGGAAGTAACTGTCTACGTGTGTATTTTTTTCTCTATCGTTTTTATACAACTAATATCCTCTTCTTTTTTTTTTCTTTTCTGTTTCGTTTATATTTATTTGTTGCATTCGTTTTCTTTCTCTCTCGTTTTTTTTTGCTTTTCTATGTCAATTGCAAAAAAGAATATTATATAAGACGATATAAGCATTTTAGTACGTAGAAAAAAATCAAGGGAAAAATGCACATATGGTCAATAAAAGGAACTTTTTTTATTTGATTAAATGAACTTTAATATAAAATTAATCATAAGATAAAGAACACAAATTAATTATGTAATTATAAACTATTATTATTGTTTTATTGATGATTTCTTCGTACTACAATTAACAAGTTCAACAGGCACACAATCATGTTCTTGAGCAGAATAGGCTAAACCTTTATCACATTCCATCACACTATGCCAGCCTAAAAGTAAAAAAAAAACAACAGAAAATGATTAAGACAAATATTTCCAGATAAAAAGCAAAAAAAGAAACAATATTTGATATACCCGTTCCACAATAATGAAATTTATGGCAATGAATGGGATCTGCATAATAACCATTAGAACGACCAGCACAAGTAAAAATCGAGGGTACATGGAATGGTACTGTTGATTTTGCTGATGTCGTTGTCGTTGTTGTTGTTGTTGTTGTTATGACAGGTCTAGTAAATAATTGAATCCATTTTTTCTTTGATGATCCTACGAAATTCATTAAAAAATAAATTGTTTTTTTTTTTATTGAAAATAAAACAAATCATGTACCTGATGATGAATCAATTGATTTTGAATTTTGACAATTAACAAGATGCATTGGCATACATAAACGTAATAATGATTCCCATGCAAGACCTGGTGCACAAATCGATCGATAATCCCGTCCATCGACACACACATGATAGATTCGGCAATCGTATGCATCACCAAAATAACCATCAACTTTATTAAAAAACAAAAACAAAATAAAACTTTATTTATTCAAATAAAAGAAAATCTTTCATTCATTTACCAATACAGCTAAATTGATGTATTCGTTGTTTCTTAATTACTTCTTCTGAATAAATTGAATTACCATCAAATGTATCTGACGACATATCTAAATATAGAAAAGCAGAAAAAAGAAACTCAGTTTTCAATGATAAAAAATAATTATTTATATACATATACATCTATCATCATTAAAAATATATACAGGGTATAACAAAATTATAGCCTCCCTTTTGTCGTTGAGATTTTTCAATGAAAACGAATAGCTAGATCAAATCTAAATAGTGATTTCGATAGCCCTTGAAGTTCTCTATCGAAAACAGTATAGATCAAAATCCCCAAAAAAACTTTCCTTAGAAAGTTTTACAAAAAACCGAAGNGATATTGCACATTGAAGAGAAATCAATTTCAAGATAATTTTTGAAAAATCGCCGTTTTCACTAATATGCAATATCTCGAGAAGGCCGTATCCGTTTTCGCCGAAACTTTTGGAAACTTCTAACCTCGATGAGACCTGTTGTTAGGCAAAATTTCAGTTCGAAATTCCTTCATTCAGTTTTTCCATAAATTCCTTGCCCAAGGTCGAAAATTCACTAAAACGATCATAACTTTGAAAGAAAGGCCTAATGGCACGAACTCTTTTAGGCTTTTTCTAGTCTTAATTGGGTCCTACTTATGAGCACAATATGAACCCAAATGGTGCGTATCACTTGGGAATGTTCCCTCGTAAGTGCCTGAGTTGTTCGACATGTATCCATATGAAAAGCACTGAATTTAAGAAGAAATCGATTTGTGTGTGTTGGACACTGAGTCATTACATATTTATTTGTCTTTTTCCAATGAATATAAGATTTGTTTTCTTATTTCTCCTATCGAAAAAATGAATAATAATAATAAGAACAGACAAAAAAAAAAGAAAAACCAAATACGAGCGCATCATTCGTGAGAGAAAAAAAAAGAGAGAATGAATGAATATACAACCGAAAAAATAATAAATGCGTGAGAGATATTGATTGACTAAGAAAAGAGAAAGTTTTCTATTCATGCAAATATTGCACATAAAAACTGTTCGTTCTCGGATTGGTGCTCACGACAACGTCTCTTTTCTTTATCTCACGCTCGTTTGTTTTGTTTTTTGTTTTTTTGTACATAACACACACGCACACACACACACACACACCCACACATTTTACAGTATAGCTAAAACACGCATACAGTAACAGAAATTTCGAACAGAAATAGAGCCAAAAAAGAAAAACAAATAAACATTTTTTTATTTTTGACGTGAACCAGAACCACGAGTTCCTTCATCATCATCATCGATACCGCCATAAGATGACTAAATAAGACATAAATAAATTATAAAACAAAACAAAAAACAGGGAAATTTAATATATACTTGATTTGTTTCATCCATTGTTATATCTTCATCATCGCTCATTATACGAGCTTTACGTCGATTACTTGAACTATTACTTCCAGGACCAGATGTACGTGATTGAGTTTGAGATTTCTAAATGTTAAAATATTTTTGAAATAGCTGGATTTTTATGGAACGTCATGATTCAAGTCTTTACCGAGGAAACTATCCTGTATATAACCTGCCATTTCAGTGGCTACGTTGTTCGACGCGTATACACAAAATACTGCGTGAAAACCTCAATACTACTAATCATAAATGACTGCTCGTATAATCACTAAGCGTGTATGAGGAGCTCAAATGATTGGCGCACAAGAAATTAACGTCAGGTCGGTTTTTAATCTAGTTGTAGAGAAGATACTGGTCTATGGAATCTGTGGCTAAGCGGCATTTCATAGGTCTTAGAAGGCGAATTGCGGCTATTGTATTGAGTTTTTGACTTGGCTTTAGATAAATGAAATAATGGAATTTTGATTTCAAAAATTTTCTCGATAGATAGGATTCATGACCATTTAAAATATTTTTGCACATTCTTATCTGAAAAGAATGTTCCCTTGTTGCAATATGACATTTTCAAAAAAATAGTCGTGTGCACAGATCGTGTTAACTTAAAAATTCAATATCTCAAAAAACTAACATTCTTTTCGATTGAAACTTTCAAGATACTGTAAGAATCATTAATCCTATCTAAAAACAAAATTTCAGATCGAAATTCTATTGTTATATATTCTCAGATACACCTAAACCTGCCCAAAAAATTAATTAGATGGTTATAACTCATTTTTTTTCGATGTTTTATTATTACCTTTTTTGTACCAGTTTCTTTTTTAACTCGTTTTTTCAGTGGTTCTAAAATTCAATAGAAAAAGAAAAATTAAAAATAGATAATCTATATTATTGTATTTTTACCATCATCATCTGATTCTTCTTCTGAATTTGAACTAATTGGTATTTCACCTTTTTCAAGACGTTCACGTGCATTTGTAAATACTGATTGAAGAATAATTGAATCTTCATAGATCTAAAATAAAAATATTGAATAAAGTTTTTTTTTTTTTTTTATTATATTACATTTGAATTTTCCATATTAAATTCTTGAGCATTTTTACATAAAAGCATAACGTCAGCTTCAAGTTCATCTATATTCCGATAACGATATTCACTAAGTTTTTTCTAAACAATGAAAAAAAAAACTTTATTAGAAGAAAAAGTTAAAAACAAAAATTTATTTTAAACCTTAATTTTATTAAAATCAACAGGATTTTTAATCATATCATAATATTCTGGTAATTCTTTTTGTGTTGGTAAACGCATAAATGGTTTACTTAAAATTCGATTATCATCACTTGAAAAAAAAAAATAGAAAAAAACAAGAAGATTTTAATTGAAAACAATTCAATTTTTTTTTCTTTATATATATATATACTTGTCTCGATATTTAATAACAAAATCTAATAAAGTTTGCATTTGTTTATATAATTTTGATGGTATTGGTTCATTTGAATAATTTTTACTTGATTCTTTCAATTTACGTTTTCCCATTCGTTTACCAAATTTTGTATCCATACAATCAAAATCATTATCACCTTGTCGAACATCTATTTCATCATGTTGACCATCATCATCATCATCTATATCAACATTAAGAACACGTCGTTTACGTCGACGTTTTTTATCTTGTTCAGTTGTATTTAATGTTCCATCTTCAACTGCCTGAAGAAGAAAACAAAAACAACAAGTTATCAAAATAAATAATTTATTTCAAATTCTCTTATATTGTTATTTTGCCGAGACTATGACAAAAAAAATTATTTCAATTGGAACTATGATTTAATCTTAGAAAAATCATCAATCAGATTCATCAAAGTACTAACTGTCGACTAAAGTAATAGAAAAACGAATACTAAAGAATTTTTTTTTCTCCGATGTGTTACAAATAAATACTGGAACAGTTTTCTTTAGAATAGGACGCGAAAAATTAATATAACGGAAACCAACAACAAAAAGACTTTGATTCGCACATTTCTAGACGAGACTATGTGTATGATGAAGAACTTAATTCATTAGAGAATAACTTTGAAATTTTAATTAATTCAATAACCAATAGGTGATATATGAATTATGCTATTAAGGCCCCCCCCCACTCAAAAAAAGTCAATTTTTGAAATTGAGATAACAGCATGGAAAGATAGCCCGTGATCTGCTCTTTCATAACTGATAAAAATTTTTCCTCGATACCTCCTTTTTGTCCAAAATTTTCGTCACCCCCTATTCGAAAAACCAGCTGTTTTTTTGAAAAAAATCAAAAAATGTTTTTCGTTTTTTCTCGATTTATGATTTTGGTACAAGGATTTCTCAGTTCGGATCCGTCCAACATATTTAAATTTTTTTTTTATTTGAAAGAGCGCGTCGAGAAGCAGGTCACTACGGAGTCTTTTTTTTAATTAAGCTTTGTTTTTTATTATATATACAGACACTTATGGGACTGGACACCCATTTTTTGCCGTGTTTTTTGAGTCATTGGACTTGTGATCTCCTTTCTCCGCTAAAAAAGTAAGAATCTAAAAAAAAGGACTCCGTAGTGCTCTGCATCCTGACATACTCTTTCTAACAAAAAAAAATTTAAATATGTTGGACGGATCCGGACTGAGAAATCCTTGTACCAAAATGACCTATTTTTGACCCTTGTTTGGTGAATATTTCAGTCAAACGTTGTGGTATCGAGCTGAAAATTTTACTACAGCCTGCCCGAATCAGCTCCAAATTTCAGCCTATTTGAACGTAGCTGGGCTGAGATCGATTTTTGAGTGGAGGGTGGGGGGCGACCTTAATCAACAAGAAAGCAGAATAAGATAAAGCAAGTCAAAACCATAATAAATTATATAGAGTTGTATCAATTTTCTGATATTTCATACAATCAAAACTGAAAGATAAAGAAGTCTCTTCGGAAAAAACAAAATTTACTGATCTTTTGCTTTCAATTTCACAACAGCAATATTTTGAGCTATGAAGAAATTTTTTTTTAAACTCCTGCTATGATTAAATCTTTCAACCTGATGCAAACGAGAGAAATAGCTTTTGAACCTACTCAAACCTCATGACTCTACCGTCTATGAAGAAAGCTATGAGTAGGAATATCGATAGAATTTAAATGTCAATGTTACAACGAACGCGAATACTCGTATGCCAATAAATTCTGTACAAGTATTTACACCAAGACGATACACATTCCTAGTTTTTATAGAACTAAATCGAGCTGAATCTTATAGGATTAGTAGCTCTCTATTGCACAGACTTTAATTTAATATTCGAAAGATCATTATGTAGGATATTTCTAAATAAATAATATAAAATTTTTATTACCTTTAGCCATTCTTTTTCAGTTAATGAATCCGAATAATCAACTTCTTTTCGTTGTCTTGTACCACGTCCAAATAAATCTAATGCTTCTTGATCAATTAGAGCATTTACAAATTCTTTTGGATCTTTTGTTAACCATGCTGGTAATTCTGATAATTCAAAAAGACGTGGTTTTCTATTAGGCATACGAGCTTCAGCATGTCTTCGTTCACGATCCATTCTCTAAAATAAAATAAAATAAAATATAATTTTTATTTGTTTGTTTTTTTTTTTAATCTCTTTTACATTAAATAAATTATATTCATCTTCACTTCGTGCAATCATTTGATTAATAATTTCATCATCAGGAACTTCATCTTCTTCTTCATCACCTTCTTCAGTTTCTTGTAAAAGAATTTGTTGTAAAAATTGTCTTCGTTCATTTCCTGTTGATTTATTATTAAACATTCCAGCTTGAATAACTTTTTCATCAACATTTAATTTATAACGAGCTGCAGCTAAGATTTTTTCTTCAACACTATTTACTGTCATTAAACGTAAAACACGAACTTCATTTACTTGACCAATACGATGTGCACGATCTTGTGCTTGTAAATCCTTGAAATAACAAAATATATAAAAATGAATTCTTTCAAAAACAAAAAAGTTTACTTGATGTGGATTCCAATCTGAATCAAATATAACAACTGTATCTGCTTTTTGTAAATTTAAACCTAAACCACCAGCACGTGTTGATAATAAGAATATGAAATAATCTGAATTAGCTTCACTAAATTTCGCTAATAAATCACCACGTTCTTCAGATTTTGTTTGACCATCAAGACGTAAATAAGTAAAATCTATTAAACAAAACAAAACATAATTATTAGTTTTTCAATCATTTTTTACTACAAAAAGAAATATATATGTTGGCTTCTCGAGAAAGACTACTTCTATCTAATAACTTATGCAGTATCAAGTTCTGCTGCATACTATTAATATGTCGATAGGTGGCGCCACCTATTGACACTCGTAGGATCCCGTCGCGGTACTTTTGACCTTTCTCGGACGATGTTGCAGGAGATATCCAGCCACGGCTGACATCTCTCTTGCCAGTACGCAGTAGAACTTGATACTGCATGCATCATTAGATAGAAGAAGTCTTTCTCTATAAATCTGCATAGTCAAAACTGTACAATCGACATTAACGATTACAAAAATAAAATATCTATTTACTTTTATAAGCAAAATAGTCTTCCATTATTGTCATGAGCGATGTCATCTGACAGAAGAGTAAAACACGATGATTTGTTACTTTTAATTTTGGTAATATACGATCGAGTACTTCAAATTTACCCGATGCACGATAAAGATCAGCTCTAAAGAATTTTATTTATATATAGAAAAATGAAAAGAAAATGAAATTATTTTTTCTATACCCTAAACAAACACTGCTTGTATAATTGAAATGTTGACAAAGTTTTTCTTCGATTTCATTAAACATAAATGGATGATTACAAATTTTACGTAATTGCATAATTGTATTCATTAAGGCTTTTGGATTAGTTGTTTTACCATTCTAGAGAAAAGAATAAGAATAATATTAGAACATTGGATAGTTAACAGTTTTTTTTTTTTTTTTATTATAATTATGATAATGACTGTCATATGAAAGATGATGGAATTATTTTATATAAAACAAAAAAAAATATTGACGTCATCATAAGCTGAGATTTATTATTAAGAATTTTTTCTTTAGATCATGATGAACTAAAAGATTTGTAAAAATCTCAACTATTCAATAGATTCTTTATTTTTTTCTATAAATCATCGTACTCAAGATATAGTCCTTGTCTGTCACATAAACGACAAACCATCAAGAATGTAAGTTTAGAATATGTCTATCTCTCTGCGTGTAAATCCTCAGGTACTTGAAGAACGCTGATATCAAATATATTATGCTATCATCAAAGTCATGGGTATCCCATAATGAATAACCGATCTTTCTAGAGCTTTTCAAGTTGCGTCTTATGATATTTTTCCGTTCTAAGACTAATGTACTAGATGATATTAAAAACAACAAATACAAAAATCGACCATTTATTATGCGACACCCGATATTGTTGCTATGCGAATCGCATCATTCCAGGATCTATCCTATTCCATAGATTCTCGTTTAGATATAATAGACTTCATTCAGATATTCCAGTTTTATTTTGTGTGTTAAATATATATATATATGAACTCATATTATTATAGATGCGTAGATTTATCTTCAATACAAAATTATTTGAATTTTATTTTTCATAATAGAGTATAACTGGACATGCCGAGAGGTCAAAAATAGTCTTCAGCTAATAAAAACGAGTACTCTCGAAAATTGAAATTATAATCTCACGTAGAATTATTGTTTATCTTATGTAAAATCTACTATCGGTAAATTTATTGTGACTCAATTCGAGTCGAACTTTGATAGAAAAATCATTACTGACATTCGAATATTTATATATATATATAGTGATGTTTAATAATTTGATTATCGATTCTTACTTTATCTTCTGTAAGAAGCATTCCGCTTGTTTGCATTTGATTATACATTACTCTTTGTAATGCTGACATATCACATTTAATTACATATTCAATCTAAATAATCATATTAAATTATTTTCAATTACAATGAAAAATAAGCAAAATCAATATTTTACTTTATCTGGTAATTGTGATTCAACTTCTTTTTTAAGACGACGTAAAAGAAATGGTCGTAAAACTTTATGTAAACGTCTTATAATAAGTAATGTTTCTTCAGGATTAAGTTCAACTTTTTCACATGTTGTAGCAAATGGCGCATTAAACCATTGTTCAAATGTTGTACATGATTTAAATATAGATGGTAAAAGAAAATTTAATAATGCCCATAATTCAGGTAATTTATTTTGTAATGGTGTACCAGTTAATAATAAACGATGTGGTGCAATATAATATGTATTAAGTACTTGTGTTAATTTACAATGATGATTTTTCATTCGATGACCTTCACTAAAGAAAAATAAAACAATAAAAAAACAAGAAACGAAAAAAAAAAAAAAATTTTGTTTTACTAACTCGATTATCATATAACGCCATTTTATTTTTGCTAATAATGCTTTATCTTTGATAATATATTCATATGTTGTTAATAGAACATTAAATTTACCACTTCGTAATGTTTGACCAAGTGTTTTACGTATTTGTGGATTACCTTTAAATATAATTGTTGAAACAGCTGGTGACCATTTAACAAATTCATTAACCCAATTAGCTAATGTACTAGAAAAAAATGCACAAAGATAAAGATATTCATTTTATTTCATGTAATTAATATTCACTTACGATAATGGCACAATAATTAAATAAGGTCCATTGACTTTTTTAACTTCCATTAAATATGTTATAAGGGCAATAGTTTGAATTGTCTAAATAAATAAATATTAAGAAAAATATTCATCTTCAGTTAAGACATGTTTCAAATCATTTAATAAATAGACATAAGTGTATAGATGTGGCTCTTCGTGTAAAGAAAATCCGCACCTACTACACACAAACTTTGTACATGTTGTTGATTTAAGTGAACTAAGTCTATCAGAAAAAAGACTTCCTACTCATGGCATGTTTCTAATGAATTTTCACCTGACACTTTGCCCACATAAAAAAATTCAGGATTTTGGACTATGCTCCTCCGAGATATGAAGTTCTCTATATGTACTGTATCTACAATCTACAGAAAAAAAAGTCTGTACCTGTATCTCGGAGAGACTTACAAGGGAACTTTCCCAGGTGCCAGAGCGCTTTTCAGTCGGAGTTTTGTGCATCTTGTAGCCTATAGTAAGCTATGTCTATGGTAAAAAAAAGTTCGTCCCCCTGGCTTGTTTCTGACGAGATATCGAGTTTTTAGTGTCTTTTTTNGAAAAGAGTTTTAAAAAAGAATTTACATAGCTTTGTCTTAAGACATACTAAACACCACACTGTCTATGGGTACCATATAATACCCGTTAAGTGCCATAACCAGTGTCAGGACCCTCAGGACGTCAAAGTCTGATGAAAACTTGTTTTCTTATATACCATTCGATGCGCCTCAACGAGCTCTACAAAACGATATATATGGTAATCTGATTAGCAATTGTGTTAATTTTTAATCAATTGAACTATGACATCATATTACTTTATTGTTCGAAAAATTTTGTACAAATTTTTTTTCTATCAATCTTTCCGTCAAAGATGCCATATTTTCTGTTATAAAAATAAGTTAAAAGTTAATTTCAATATACTTTTGTGAAACATAATCTAAAAAGTTCATTAGATAATAGAGATAGGAATCAAAACCTCGTCCTTTTACAAAGGTGACACGTACTTTCATATTACCGCCCGCTTCTCATGGACTATGATGAATATAATCGTGACACTGCAGTGTAATGCGTGATTAGTTTGAACGATAGTTGAATATAACATTGCTTTACTTTGTTCTTCTTTGATAGTAAGTGTAACATATAACAATTATTCTCAACATGAATTGAATGTAGAGAGTAATTGACAAACTGAAATCTGTGCTGATGAATACCTTCGTGTTCAATGTCAATAGCTGTATCAATTTTACACTTTAGGTCCGTAGACGTTTCGCAAACAGATTTTATCTACTAATCGAAAAATTTGACTGAAACTATAGCATTTTTGATTGGTAATAACTATTCGATTGTTATCAAACTTCATTTTTTTAATGTCAAAAATATCCATTCTTTTTTTCTACATCGAATCGAAACTCTTTCTTTATTCATTAGGAACTCTATCATTTAGGCTACTTAATCTTTATGTATTTGGCACTAAAGTCATCACACATTTATTTGTCTTTTACATGAATGTATGATAATATTTTTGTTTGTTTTGTTTTTTTTTCCTTACTTCTCCTTTCGAAAAAGTGAAATAATAATAATTGTAAGAGCAAAAATGAAACGCGAGCGCATCATTAATGCAAAAAAAGAATATACAACCGAAAAATAAACTGAATAATGAGTACGAGAAACAGAGAGAGAGAGAGAGAGAGGGTCGAAGAGAATAAAGTTTGAGAAAGTAAAAAAAAAGAAAGAGACTTTTTAGATTCATGCAAATATTGCACACAAAACTGTTCGTTCTCGGAGTGGTGTGCACGACAACATCTCTTTTCTTTTTTCTTTTCTTTTTCTTTTTTTTGTACATAAACACACACACACATCAATTTTACAGCAAAGCTAAAACACATATACAGTGACAAAAAGAAAGGATTGAACAGAATTAAAGAACGAAAATGAAAAGAAAAAAAATTATAATCATTTTTGACGTGAATTAGAACCACGAGTTCCTTCATCATCATCATCGACACCACCATAAGACTAAATAAAAGAAATAAAAATAAAAAGAATTTATTATAATTTAATAATTATATACTTGATTTGTTTCATCCATTATCATATCTTCATCATCACTCATTACACGAGTTTTACGACGACTACTTGTATTATTATTTCCATTACTAGATGTACGTGATTGAGTTTGAGGCTTCTTAAAAGAAGAGAGTGGTTAGATAATTTCTTTTTCTTTTTAATAAAATTGAAAAACTCGCTTTCTCTGATAACTTGATCAATCCGAGATAAAGAAAAACATAATCAAATTTTTATCTATTCGATGATAAATTTATTTGTAATAACATACGAATGAAAAAGTTTAGTGTCTTTTGCTTAGTTATTCGAACTTCATGCTATCGAATAACTAATCTATCTAATCGGAATAGCTTATCATTGATGAAAAAGAGCGACTTCTAGATTGATGAATATTTTGATATTTAAATCATTATTCAAACTGTTCTGCATCATATTATTTAGAAAGCTAGTCTAAGCACTCTTTTTACCTTTTTTACATTTGTATCTTTTTTGACACGTTTTTTCAGTGGTTCTATAATTAAATAAATTATTTTAATTGAAATAAAACTAAAATTATTTATAATACCATCATCATCTGATTCTTCTTCCGAATTAGAACTAATTGGAATATCTCCTTTTTCAATACGTTCACGTGCATTTGTAAATACAGATTGAAGAATAATTGAATCTTCATAAATCTAAATAATAATACTTTTTTCTGTTATTTAATAAAATAAAATAAAAAAGTAAAAAGAATTGTACAGTTGAATTTTCCATATTAAATTCTTGTGCATTTTTACATAAGAGCATAACATCAGCTTCAAGATCTTCTAAATTTCGATAACGATGTTCAGCAAGTTTTTTCTATAAAAGAATCAAATCAAATTAAAAAAATTCTAAACAAAATTTTTCTCAAAAACCTTAATTTTATTAAAATCAACTGGATTTTTAATTGTTTCATAATATTCAGGCAACTCTTTTTGTGTTGGCAAACGCATAAATGGTTTACTTAATATTCGGTTATCATCACTAAAAATAAATACACATTCAATAAAAACAATAGATAAACAATTAAAAATTCTACTTGTCTCGATATTTAATCACAAAATCTAATAATGTTGTCATTTGTTTAAATAATTTAGCTGGTATTGGATCATCCGAATATTTTTTATTTGTTTCTTTTAATTTCCGTTTTCCAGCACGTCTACCAGTTTTTGGTGTAACTACATCCATATCATTATCTCCTTGTTTACTATCGTTTTCATCATGTTGACCATCATCATCATCATCAAAATCAATATTATTAGCAACACGTCGTTTACGTCGACGTTTTTTCTCTTGGTCAGGTGTACCTAATGTTCCATCTTCAATAGCCTAAATAATACAAAAGACAAAAAAATTATAAATAACAACTTCTTATGCAATCAACAAATGTGTGTGTTAAGAAGAGTATCTTTGTCTTTTAGTTATCTGGCATATATGAGATGCTGCCTACCCGCACATTCAATGGTACGATAGTTTCCTATTAGCTGTAGTTCTCAATAAAAGACCGGTCTGACTCCGAGTTGTTCCACTACCCATACATAATATCTAACCGCAAGGACAGGTGTATGTCATAACGTAGTCAGCATTCTATCGGACGAGGAATCCAATACAAAAATGGCCGTTAGTAATTTGTTCAAGATCATTCCATGACTGATGATACTGAGATTTACACGCAGTATATTGTGAATACGTGTCGAACAACGTAACCACTCAAGATGGATTTTTTTCTAAGTGTCAAATTGCTTTTGAGTAGGAACTATGTGCCCCATGTAGGTTCCAATGAGCTATGAATGCCATGGCTATCCTAAGAAATGGCTATGGTAAAAGTGTTTGTCACATCGCTCATATGCACCGACAGACTCAATGTTCGTATTTCACAATAGGAACATCGAAAAAACCTAAAACTTTCACGAAAAACTATTCTTGTTTATGTTTGTTGCTGCGCAAGATGTGAGGTTAAAAATTCGAAAATAGATATTCCGGGTCTTCTCGAACGGGACCAGAGCATTCTGCTAAAATAGCAATAAACTATTAGTTCGAATTCTTTTCAGAGTATTTACAGGTCATTAAGATCTACATGATGCTTGTAGTTCCGACTCGAAAGAGATTGATCACATGGGAGATCTTTCCTCATAAGTGATTGAATTCTGAAAAGAATAGGAGCGTTGAGCGAACAGATTTCAAAAGTCATAGGATATCGCACCCTGTAGAAACTTTATATCTTTATATTAATTTACCCTAAGCCATTCTTTATCGGTTAATGAATCTGAATAATCGACTTCTTTTCTTTGTCGAGTACCACGTCCAAATAAATCTAATGTTTCTTGATCAAGTATAGCTTTTTCTAATTCTTTTGGATCTTTTGTTAACCATGCAGGTAATTCAGACATTTCAAGAAGTCGTGGTCTACGATTAGGCATTCTAGCTTCAGCATGTCTTCGTTCACGATCCATTCTCTAGAAGAAAAAAAAGAAATTGAATAAAAAGAAAACAACGAACAAAATAACTAACATTAAATAGATTATATTCATCTTCTGTTCGTGCAATCATTTGATTAATAACTTCATCATCTGGAACTTCATCTTCTTCTTCATCACCTTCTTCGGATTCTTGTAAAAGAATTTGTTGTAAAAATTGTCTTCGTTCATTTCCTGTTGATTTATTATTAAACATTCCAGCTTGAATAACTTTTTCATCAACATTTAATTTATAACGAGCAGCTGCTAAGATTTTTTCTTCAACACTATTTACTGTCATTAAGCGTAATACACGAACTTCATTTACTTGTCCTATACGATGTGCACGATCTTGTGCTTGTAAATCCTTTAGGAAAAAAAGAGATTTAAAAAAAAAACTATCTTTTTTGTTATTAATTTTACTTGATGTGGATTCCAATCAGAATCAAATATAACAACTGTATCGGCTTTTTGTAAGTTTAAACCGAGACCACCTGCACGTGTTGATAATAAGAAAATGAAATAATCTGAATTAGCTTCACTAAATCTTGCTAATAAATCTCCGCGTTCTTCAGATTTTGTTTGACCATCAAGACGTAAATAAGTGAAATCTAGAAAACAAAAAGAGAAAAATTAAAACAAAATTTAAAAAAATTAAATGTTTACTTTTATAAGCAAAATAATCTTCCATTATTGTCATCAATGATGTCATTTGACAGAAAAGTAAAACGCGATGATTTGTTGCTTTTAATTTTGGTAATATACGATCGAGTAATTCAAATTTACCTGATGCTCGATAAAGATCAGCTCTATAAAAAAAAAAGACAAATATATTTAAAAAGCAAAACTGGATTATGAAAATTTATCTTTTATACCCATTACAAACACCATTAGCATAATTAAAATGTTCACCAATTTTTTCTTCTAACTCATTGAACATAAATGGATGATTACAGATTTTACGTAATTGCATTATTGTATTCATTAATGCTTTTGGATTACTACCTTTACCATTCTAAAATAACAAGATTTTATCTTTTATTATCATAGACGATAAAGATTAGTAAGATTTTCTACAATATGTCTCATGATATAGAAGTGCGGAAATTCGAATCACTCAGCTTTTTTAATCCTAAAGTAGAATTAGTCGGGGATTTCGGAAGTCCATTTTAGATAGAAGTGTAAGTCAATGCATTGATTGATAACGGCGGCTCAAATTTTCCGATGAATTTATTTTTAAATGAAAAAGAGAAAACAATGGTAGGACGAGTAGTCAGATGTTAACGTCTTCAAAAATTGATTTGGAACGTCGACAATTTTTAAGAATGAATATATCTACTTGTGTCGCGGCGGTGACAGTCATAAATTATTCAATAATATAAAAATTAATTTGTTACTATGGCGCAAAGCGTTTAGCTCAAATTCAAATAGTGGTTTTAATAGCCAATGAAGTTCTCTATCAAGTGCATTCTGTACGGAAACTTCATAGAAGACTTATGGAAGTCTGGAAAACCAAACAGGGGAGTTTTCAAGTTCCCGACGACGTCTAAGGGTACCATATTAAAAACCGCAAAATTCTGAATAAAATAAAGGATTGTCACATTACCTACGATGTCCCCTTAAACAGTTATAAGCATAACAGGAGATCTTAGAAAATGTAACAGCTCTTTATTTGATAGAGATATTCATTGGCTATTCACACTACTCTTTGAATTAGAGTTAAATATTTAATATCGTCGAAGATTCTTACTTTATCTTCTGTAAGAAGAATGCCACTTGTTTGCATATGATTGTAGATGACTCTTTGTAACGCTGACATATCACATTTAATAACATATTCAATCTAGCAAAAAAAATTAAATCAAAATTTTTTATTATTTAGAAAAAAAACCAAAACATACTTTATCTGGCAATTGTGATTCAACTTCTTTTTTAAGACGACGTAAAAGAAATGGTCGTAAAACTTTATGTAAACGTCTTATTATAAGTAATGTTTCTTCAGGATTAAGTTCAACTTTTTCACATGTTGTTGCAAATGGTGCATTAAACCATTGTTCAAATGTTGTACATGATTTAAATATAGATGGTAAAAGAAAATTTAATAATGCCCATAATTCAGGTAATTTATTTTGTAATGGTGTACCAGTTAATAATAAACGATGTGGAGCAATATAATATGTATTAAGTACTTGAGTTAATTTACAATGATGATTTTTCATTCGATGACCTTCACTGTAAAACAGAAATTAAAAGATAATAAAAGAAAAAATAAAAGCATTCTACGAACTCGATAATCATATAACGCCATTTGATTTTTGATAATAATGCTTTATCTTTGATGATATATTCATAAGTTGTCAATAGAACATTAAATTTACCATTTTTTAACGTATAACCAAGTGTTTTACGCATTTGTGGACTACCTTTAAAGATTATTGTTGAAACACCTGGCGACCATTTTTCAAATTCATTCACCCAATTAGCTAATGTACTAAAAAGAAAAAGTCATTTTAGATTTAGGAAGATTTATTAGTATGAAAACTAAAACTTACGATAATGGTACAATAATTAAATAAGGTCCATTGACTTTTTTTACTTCCATTAAATAAGTAATTAGTGCAATTGTTTGAATTGTCTAAGTATATCAGAATTCGTATGTTATCACAATCGAAATTATTTCGTCTCTTCTATTTATCAAGAAGCTTTAGCAATGATCCAATTAATGGACTTTCTTATTTGTAATTTATATCAATAAAAACTCATATATATATATATTTGTTTTTTTGTCACCTTAAGATCTTTAATTCTCTTCTTAGTGATTAGAAATGGAATTAGTTGGAACTAGTAAAAAGTTGTAGAGAATATTGTATATATTCTAAGCGAAACCATATGTTACTTCAGGACGGAAGTCCTATAACTGATAAATCCCTTTTTCAGTCGTATCTATGTGCATTATATAAACCCAAATTAGTTATGAATACCCTGAAGAGTTCGTGCTATTATCTTATTGTTACGTAGACACTGCACTTCTACGGTATGTTTTGAATAAATTCCATGATTGTGCTAAAATACCTTCATTTTCGAATTTTGACTAGTCACCTGTGAAGTCACGTTTTTTTAACTCCGATTTCGAAGTTTTTTCTATTTAAATCAAGATTTCCACTTGGCTAATAATGATGATGAAGAAGATATTGACGTTCGGAATTTTTGGATTAAACTACAGGGTGTATTTCCAATATTATCTTCAATTACTAGGAGAATATGTGCAATACCGGCTTCCAACACCATGAATTCATCTAATGTAGATGTCTTTATATGTTGTATTTTCTATTTGATGTCACTTAATTACTGGATTAAAAGTTTTTGTTAACCAGAAGTTACAATTGTGGAAAAATGAACCTTACACAAGAAAAGCATGCGATAAGATTTTCGGAGTTTCTATAATTTGATCTCTAATTTTGATTTGAAACTTCTCATCGACAAAGACCTTAACGAGACTAGTTTCAGGTCTTTTGATTTGCTTCTGTCCTAAATTTCGAGCATAAAATTTGACAGTTTATATGAGTGCTGGAAACAGGTCTCATAATAAATTTTAGAAGTGCAACAGTCAAAGTGTTGACAGACAGTTTTTTGACAACGGCTCAAAATTTAGCAGACGCGTCATAATAAGTAACAGGAAGGGATATCCCTTTCCGCATCGAAACCTATAAAAGGAAGATTTTCAAATGATAAATCGCTTTGAAGGCAGGATTATATTCAATCTATAGAGTTTAACTATGATTTTGCTTGAAAGCTAGAATCACTCTAGGGTACTTATCTATTCACGTGGTTCAATTAATTGAATATAGCTTCAATTTAAAAGCAATTTATCACTTGGAGACTTCTTTATTGACGAGATCTACAACTTTCACAACAAACTATTGTTGTGAAAGTCCGTCTCTGTACTAAATTTCAAATCAAAAACCAGTTTTTCTTGTGTTCCCGATGACAGAGCTATCGATAGTTTTTATAAGTGCAAGAAGCTAAAAATTTAATAGATGGTCTGTCTGAGTAAAAGTGACTAAAAGAAACTACCTTCTTCCACTTGACAGGCAGTAGCTTAAAAATTTTCGTTGACACGATATAAAAAGTGGGGGACGAAAGAGGCACATTATGCATTTTATCTTAAGATAGGCGAACACGTTACTTTCTTGCTCAGAAATTATAGGATATAACCCACAGAAAAGCATTTTTTGGGAAAAAGTTTTTCTACAACAAATGCTTAAAAAATCTAAGTATATCCAAAACCCATTGTGCAGTCTAAGAACGTTTGCACTGAAAGGAATTAGAAACAGTAGATAAAAGAATATTCTGGCTAGTATACAGTTCGATCTCGAGATTCAGAAGATGTACTTGATTTATCTGTTAAACAGTTTAATTTTGTCAGATATTAATTTTTCAGTGTCTTTAAGGACGACTGTAACAAAGTTATTTTTATCATTCGACAGACTATATGTTTGAAGTATATTTAAATCTTAAAAGAAGTTTTAGTCAATGTCCGCCTATATCATATCGAGACCTATGTCTGAGAGAGATCACGAAATTCATATAAACAATACTATAAAAGTGCAATAAGCCAAACTTTCTCAGGTAACTTGTACATATTTACTTCTAGGTCTTTTTTTTCCTTTGCATGTGTATCATTGAACGTGAATATACATTAATATAAGCATGTCCTTGAAATAAAAATGATTGACACGATGAAATACATTCAATCGTGGTATAGTTTTCTATTCACAAGGATAATCGAATAATAATTTCCTAATCTTATATAGATCGAAAACTGAAAGTTTCTTTTTTCTTTATACCTTTCCAAGACCCATTTCATCGGCAAGAATACCATTAAGATTATTATTATATAATGAAACAAGCCATTCAAGACCTTGTATTTGATATGGTTTAAGTTGTCCACCAACAAGAAGTAATGATTGTTTTGTAACAGGTTCTCGAACTCGATGTGCAACAGCATAATATGAATCTAATGATGCTGTATGATATTCATCATCTTCAGTTGCTTGTTTAGCTTTTGTTAAAACTTCTTTAACAATTTTTTCATCTTCAACAACACCTTTTTCTTGTTCATCAGCTGTTGGTACAGGAATAGTAACTGTTGTTTCAGCTACATGTGTTACTATATCACGTGGTGTATCATCATCTTCATCATCACTATTTTCTCTTGGTATAGGTTGCCAACCTGGATTTTTTTCTAACCAACTATCAAGTTCTGATGCTAATGGTGCATCTTGTCCATCTTTAATTTCTCCAGTTGTTATATTTTTAACTTTAATATGTACATAACTTTTATCATCATTTGAAACATTTATTTGTTTTCTTTCCATTTTTTTCTTTTTTAAATCATTTTGATGTTCTTTTACAAGATTAACTAAACTTATTATATATGCATCTGTTTGTGATAATAAATAAGCTAAACGTTTATCTTTTTTTTCATCAATTAATTTTCTATAACCATCTTCATCTTCATTCATTAAACGACGCATACGTTCACGTTCACGTTTTTCTTGTTCTTTTTTTTGTTCACGTTCAGTATTTTGATGCCATGATA